AATTCAAGACCTAGAAAAACCGCTAATAGAAGAATTACCTGAAGACGTGCAGGAAGTAACAGTAATAGATGCAGGAGTAACAAAAAAGAAACTGCTCACAAAGAAAACGCTAAAAAAGACAAAAGGCGATAAGGAAGAAACTACTGAGATTGTTACTTTGGAAGAAGAAGGTCAGAAACCAGAGACAGTAGTCACAGTCACCGAGGAAATAATTGACAAGAAAAAGCCCCAAAAAATACCTGTTCCACAAGAAACAGTAGAAATTCCCTGGACAAAACAAGTTGAACTTAAACAGACTCCAAAGACAAACAAACCCGAGGAAGAAACACGTGAAGAAATTCGGTTAAAACCAGTCAAAAAATCGCAAATACCCCAGCCTGAGGAAGCTCCAGTAGTTCAAGAACTTCCTGAAGAAATTCAGCAAACGACCGTCATTGACAAGGGAGAAGCCAAAGTGCAAGTAACTAAAACGCGTGTTATTAAAAAAAGAACTGGGGATAAGGAGGAAACCACGCAGATTGTTACAGTAGCAGAAGACGGAAAAGAACCTCAAACGACTGTAACAGTTGAGGAGCAAGAAGTTCCTGAGGCAGTCGCAACACAACCAATCTATAAAGTAGAAGAACTTCCGGAGAAAATTTCTGAAAGCACTGTAGTAGTACAAGGTATTGAACGAAGGAAAGTAGAAAAAAGGAGAGTAATCAAAACAACAAAAGGCAAAACGCAAGAACTCACAGAAGTACTGACCACACAGTTAGAGGGCGAAAAACCAGAAGTCACTATTACAGTTCATGAAATTGAAGATACGCTTCCTGAAACACTAGACGAGACATTCGAAACTGTAGAAGAACTGCCAGTTCAGATCTCCGAAACAGTAGTTGTCGATAAAGGTATTCGCAAAAAGAAGGTCGCAAAAACGCGAACAATCAGAAAGGAAAAAGATGGAAAGCAACAAATCACAGAAATTGTCACTATTGAAGAAGAAGGCAAAAACCCGGATATTCAAGTTACGGTCCATGAAGAAGACAAACCCGTTGAAAAAACGGTAGAAAAACCGGTTACAGATTTACCGTGGACTGAACAAGTCAAACTCAAACGAACTCCTAAAAAACAACAAGAAGCCCCCGTTGAAAGTGAAATAATAAAGCTTAAACCAGTAAAACCGGAAATCACCGATACACCTGTGACTATTGAAGAACTTCCGGAAGAAATTCATGAAACGGTCGTGACTGATAAGGGAAAAATCAGAAAACAAACATCCAAAAAACGGGTCATTAAGAAGCGAGTCGGTGACAAGGAAGAAACAACACAAATCGTAACCATTCAAGAGGAGGGCAAAGCTCCGCAAACAACCGTCACTATCGAAAACGTGACAATTCCCGAAAAGGAGGTTGTTCAACCGATCTATAAAGTGGAGGAAGAACCCGAGCAGATACTTGAAACATCTGTAATAGAGGACGGAGTTAGAAAGAAACAAGTTCAAAAGAAACGTGTTATTAAAACAACTAAAGGCGATAAACAAGAAGTTACTGAAATCGTCGTTTTAGAGCAAGAAGGTAAAAAGCCTGAGGTAACAGTAAGAACAGAAGAAATTGACGCGCCTAAAATTCCATCTGAACAACCTGAAGACACATCAATTGAAGAACTGCCCATTGAAATTAGAGAAGACGTCGTTTTTGATCATGGAGTTTCCAAGAAGAAAGTGGAAAAGAAACGAACTATCAAGAAAAAACGAGCTGGCAAAGATGAAATTACGGAAATAATAACCGTAGAAGAAGAAGGCAAATTGCCTGAAACCAGTATTGTTACGTACGAACAGGTTCCAGAGGAAGATTCAGAAAAACCTTTTATTAAAGAGCTACCTGAAGAAACGCAACAGGTAGTGGTTGTAGATGAAGGAGTCACTAAACAGAAAACGATTAGAAAACGCATTATTAGAAAGAGGAAAGGTGATAAAGATGAGATTACTGAAATAGTAACACTAGAGGAAGAAGGAAAATTAGCTGAAACAACTGTAAGCATTACTGAAGACGATCGCAAGCCAGACCAAATAAAACCGAAGCGAAAGCCCAAAAAAGTGGAAGTTTCAGAAATCTTACCTGTAGTTGAGGTAGAAGAATTGCCTGAAGAAGTTCAAGAAACAATTGTTATCGATAAAGGGGTCGCCAAAAAGCAAATTAAAAAGAAGCGTGTTATTAAGAAGCGCAGAGGCAGCAAAGAAGAGACGACTGAAATTGTGACTGTCGAAGAAGAAGGAAAAGCTCCACAAATCCAAGTCCAAGTTGAAGAGGTGCAAATTCCGGAGGAAATGGCTGAACAACCTATTTACACAGTAGAGGAACTGCCAGAGCAAGTATCTGTCAGTACAGTGATTGAAGGAGGCTTGAAAAAACAAAAAGTTCAGAAGAAACGTATCATCAAGACACGAAAGGGCAATAAACAAGAAATTACTGAGCTGACCACTACAGAAATGGAAGGCAAAGCACCGAGCACCACAGTAACAATTACTGAAGTAGAAGCACCAGCTGATGAAGTTCCGGTTCAGACCGAGTATGTAGTCGAAGAATTGCCAATTGAAACCCAAGAGGTTATCAGTGTTGATGGAGGAGTTACCAGCAAAACGGTAATAAAAAAACGCACTTTGAAAAAAAGGAAAGACGGCAAAGAACAAATTACCGAAATCGTAACTGTGCAAGAAGACGGCAAAAAACCAGAAACAACGGTTACAATATCGGAAGACTTTATCCATCCAGACACTATTTTCCTACAACCTCTTGTTGAGGAGCTACCAGAACAAATATCAGAAATCATAGTTGATAAAAAGGGTATTAAAGAGAAACAGGTTATCAAGAAACGTGTCATTAAAAAGCGAAAGGGTAGTAAAGATGAGGTAACCGAAATTATTACGCTTGAACAGGAAGGTAAAAAACCTGAAACAACTGTGACTGTAACGGAAGAAGAAACACCACGAAAACCGAAAAAGCGAGTCATTGAACAAAAGAAAGCGGACCTTCCTTGGACGGAACAAGTCAAGCTTAAGAGAGCACCTAAGCAAATAAAGCCTGCAAAAGAAAAAGGAGAGACTGTCGAACTTAAACCCGTCAAAACGGAAGAAGTAATCCAAGAATTGCCTGAGGAGATCCAAGAAACAACAGTTTTTGATCAAGGTGTAATGGAGAAGAAGGTTACTAAGAAGCGCGTAATCAAGAAGCGAAAAGGAAGCAAAGATGAAACTCTGGAAATTTTAACGGTACAAGAAGAAGGCAAGCAACCAGAAACAACAGTTACAATCATCGACGAAACTCCGAAAGTTCCTGACGTCACCTTAAAGCGAGCGAAAAAAGAAAAAGTAAAACTGGCGAAGGGAACTGACGAGAAAATTGAAAAGCTCCATCCCGCCAAAATGGTTCAACCAGATTCGCTTCTTACCACAATGGAAGAATTACCTACAGAAGTTCGCGAAACCACAGTAATTGAAGATGGAATTACTAGGAAACAGAAAACAAGAAAACGCGTTATTAAAAAACGCCGAGGTAGTAAAGAAGAAACAACTGAGATAGTTACCGTTGAAGAAGAGGGTAAGGTACCCCAAACAACGGTAACTATCGAAGAAGACGTGGCTCCGAAAATTGCGGAAGAGCAGCCATTGTATAGAGTTGAGGAACTCCCAGAAGAAGTGTATGAAACAACTGTTGTAGAGCAAGGTCGACCGCAGAAGAAAATTATTAAGAAGAGGGTGATTAAAACTAAAAAAGGTGACAAACAAGAAATTACTGAAATTGTTATTACACAGAAGGGTAGAGAGGCACCCGTGACCGAAGTGATAATTCATGAAGAATCTATTCCATTTGAAGAGATAGAACAACCAGAATATGCAGTGGAAGAATTACCTGTGGAAATCCAAGAAACCGTTGTGGTTAAAGATGGAATTTCTAAGAAAAGGGTCGAAAAGAAGCGAACAATTAAGAAAAAAGATAAACAGGGAAAAGATGAGTTAACCGAAATTGTTACAATCCATGAGGAGGGTAAAAAGCCCCAAACAACGGTAACAGTTCAAACACAAGACACGGTGTCAGATATTCCGGATAGGCCAGTTATCACAGAACTTCCAGAAGAAATTAGTGAAGTCAATGTTGTAGAGCAAGGCGTCATCAAACAGAAAATTAAGACAAAGCGAACAATAAAAAAGAGGCGAGGTAGTAAAGACGAAACTACTGAAATTGTGGTTATAGAAGAAGAAGGTAAAGCCCCGCTAACAACAGTGCTGGTGACAGAAGAGCCTGTAGAGGATCAACAGTTAATTCCAAAACCAAAAATAAAGAAAACTAAAAAGCAAGCAAAAAGTGAGAGTCCACTGGTCACACCTGAGGGCTACCTTTTTGTCCCAAGTCTGGCACATCCAAAAGAAACACAACCCGACGATGTTGTCGATATGTTGCAGACGGAACTTATCAAAATGCGCCTTGCCAAAAATCTACCAGAACACGTAGTGCCTGACGATGTACCTAAATACACAGTCATGGAATTACCTGAGGAAGTCCAAGAAACTACCGTCATTCAAGATGGAGTTTCCAAAAAAGTTAGATCGCGAAAACGGGTTATTAAAAAACGTATTGGTGACAAAGAGGAAACAACGGAAATAGTTTCCGTAGAGGAAGAAGGCAAAGTGCCTCAAACTACTGTTACTGTAGAAGAAGAAACAATTCCAGAAGATATACCGGAACAACCGATCTACTCTGTTGAAGAACTCCCTGAAGAAATTTCTGAAACCACAGTCCTAGTTGAAGGAAGACCTAAAAAAAGGATTGAAAAGAAAAAGACTATTAAAACTCGAAAGGGTAGTAAACAAGAAATAACCGAAATAACCGTGACTGAGCAAGAAGGCAAGAGGCCAGTGACTGAAGTTAGTATTAAGGAAATTGATATTCCTGAATCGGAAATCCATGAAGGGCCTCAGCCAGAATATCTTGTGGAAGAACTCCCAATTGAAATTAAAGAAACTGTAGTAGTTGAAAACGGGGTATCAAAGAAGAAAGTTCAAAAGAAGCGGACTATTAAAAAACGCAAAGGTGATAAAGAAGAAATTACAGAAATCGTTACTACTGAACAAGAGGATGAAGCGCCCAGAACCATTGTGTCCATTGAGGAAAAGCCGATTACGTCCCAATTAGAGGAGGTACCAAAAATTGTGGAAGAATTGCCAACAGTGATTCAAGAAGTCAGGATAATCGAAGATGGTGTACCTCAGAAATGGACCATTAAGAAACGCGTCATTAAAAAGCGACGTGGCAGTAAAGAAGAAAAAACTGAAATTGTGACAGTTGAACAAGAAGGTAAACTTCCCGAAACGACCGTCACTGTTGATCAAATAACAGTCATCGAAGAGAAGAAGCCCAAAGTGAAGAAGCCAAGAACAGAAAAGGTCGAAGAAGTACCATGGGCGGAACAGGTTCAACTGAAACCATCCAAACGGAGGCCAAAGGCTGTAGAAAAAACACAGTTGGAAGAAGTTGAGCTGAAGCCATTTGAAGTGCCAGAGAAAGAAGAAGAAGTATTTAGAGTGGAGGAACTTCCTGTGGAAATAAAAGAAACCACAGTAATAGACCAAAAAGGTGTATCTAAAAAGAAAATAGTTAAAAAGCGAGTTATTAGCAAACAAAAAGGCGACAAACACGAACGAACTGAAATTGTTACCGTTGAGGAAGAAGGCAAAGCTCCAGAGACCACTGTAATCACGGAAGAACTAGATGCTCCAAAGACTGGCGGTCCTTTGTACATCGTTGAAGAATTGCCAGTGGATGTCCAAGAGTCTACCGTCACTGAGCGCGGTGTTTCCAAGAAGAAAATTACCAAAACCCGTAAAATTGTTAAAAAAGAAGGCGACAAACGAGAAACCACTAAAATTGTAACAGTAGAGAAGGAAGGTGAAAWACCAACCACTGTGGTWACGGTTGAAGAAGATGTGGCTCCAGAAGAAGCTCGCGAGGAATCCCCCAGTTATAAAGTGGTTGAAATGCCCGTTGAAATACAGGAGACTATAACCATGGAGGGAGGAAAACCAAGGAAAACTGTTATTAAGAAGCGAAAAATACAGAAACAGAAGGGAGATAAACAGGAAACTACCGAAATAGTTACTGTCGAGCGAGAGGGCAAACAGCCCGAAACTACCGTGACTGTATTAGAGGAAATTGTAGACCAACTCCCTGCAGAAGTAGTAGTTGAGGAAATTCCAGAAGAAGTAGAACAAACTACTATTATTGAAGGAGGAAAATCTAAAATCAGAACCGTGAAAAGGAGAAAAATTAAAACTCGCAGAGGTGACCAACAAGAAATCACTGATATTGTAACTGTAGAAGAAGACGGTAAAAAACCACTTACAACAGTGGAAATTACAGAAGAACCAGTTCCAGTGGATGAAAAACCTTCTGAAAGCAAACCTAAACGAACTGTGAAGAAAACTAAAAAAGTAACGGAAACTTCTTTGTTAACAAAGGATGGTTACTTGGTGGTGCCTAGCTTAGAGCAACAAGAAGAAACGCAACCCGAAGGTGTTTTAGATCTTTTAGAGATGCAACTTATCAAAATGAGACTGCAAAGAGATATGCCTGAGCACATTGCACCAGAAGAAGTGCCTGTGTTTGAAATAAAAGAACTTCCGGAGGAGATTCATGAATCCATAGAACTGAAAGATGGCATTCGAAAGAAAGTTATCACTAAAAAGAGGGTTATTAAGAAAAGGAGAGGTGATAAGGAGGAAACCACAAACATTGTTTCCACCGAAGAAGAAGGTAAAGCTCCAGAAACAACGGTAACTATTGAAGAACAGCAGCTACCGGAACAAGAAACTGTGCAACCAATATACACAGTTGAAGAACTTCCAGAGGAAGTTTCTGAATCTACCGTGCTAATTCATGGAAAAGCGATAAAAACAGTTAAAAAGAAGAGAGTTATCAAAACTCGTAAAGGTGGTAAACAAGAAACAACCGAAATAGTTACCATAGAACAGGAAGGTCAACAGCCAATCACTACTGTGGAAATTCAAGAAATAGAAGCACCTGAAATTGAAAAAGTACCTGAATCGGAATACAGAGTCGAAGAGCTGCCCATTCAAATTCAAGAAAGTCTAGTAATTGAGGATGGAGTCACTAAAAAAAGAGTTCAGAAAAAACGAACGATTAAAAAGCGGAAAGGAGATAAAGACGAAACAACTGAAATTGTTACTATTGAAGAGGAGGGAAAGCAACCAGAAACTTTCGTTACTATTGAAGAAAGGCCAACTAGTGGAGATGTTGAGGATATTCCTGAAATTCTGGAAGAACTACCAACCATTACTGAGCAGGTAAATGTAGTGGAAGACGGAATACTTGTACAACGAAATGTTAAAAGGAGAATCATAAAGAAGAGGCGAGGAAGTAAAGAAGAAAAAACGGAAATTGTTACAGTAGAAGAAGAAGGCAAAACACCCGAAACCACAGTGACAATAGAAGAAAAGCCAAAAAAGAAAAGAGCAAAGCGCGTAAAAGCTGAAAAAATTCCGTGGAACCAGCAGGTTCAATTGAAACCTACTACAAGGAAATCCAAAGACATTGAGAAGCCTGAGATCGAAGAAGTAGAGCTACAGCCATTCGAATTACCCAATAAAGAGGAAACAGTTTTCAAAGTGGAAGAACTTCCAGTAGAAATTAGAGAATCTACAGTTATCGACCAAAAGGGTATTGCGCGGAAAAAAGTAGTTAAAAAGAGAGTTATCAAGAAGCAAAAGGGAGATAAACAAGAAAGGACGGAAATTCTTACTGTCGAAGAAGAAGGAAAAGCCCCTGAAACATCTGTTACTATAGAACAAATTGAGGCTCCAGAATCCGACAGTCCTCTTTATGTTGTTCAAGAGCTACCAGAAGAAGTTCAAGAAAGTACTGTTGTAGATCATGGCGTGTCTAAAAAGAAAATCACAAAAACTCGCAAAATTGTGAAAAAAGAAGGGGGTAAAAAGGAGGTTACCAAAATTGTCACCGTAGAGAAGGAAGGAGAAATACCAGAAACTGTCGTAACCATAGAAGAGGGACAAACTACACAAGAGGCGCCAGAAGAACAGCCAGAATATATAGTAGAAGAATTGCCAATTGAAATTCAGGAAACAACCGTACTATCGCACGGTAAACCCACGAAAACCATCGTTAAAAGGCGAAAAATTAAAAAGCAAATAGGAGATCAGCAAGAAACAACAGAAATCGTTACCGTGGAACGACCTGGTGAAAAGCCAGAAACCACAGTCACGGTCTCAAAGGAATTGGTTGAAGAGTTGCCAGAAAAATCAGTAACTGAAGAACTTCCGGAAGAAGTGGAGCAAACTACGATTATTCAAAACGGCAAATCAAAAGTAAAAACAGTTAGAAGAAGAAAAATTCAGTCGCGTAAAGGAGACCAACAAGAAACAACTAATATTATAACAGTTGAAGTTGAAGGAAGCCAACCAGTAACTACTGTGGACACTACAGAGGAATTCATTCCAGAACAACACGAAAAGCTGAAACGTAAACCAAAGAAGACCAGAACGGAAAAAGTAACTGAAACGGCGTTAGTGTCGAAGGAAGGTTATCTTATTGTTCCAAGTTTAGAAGAGCAAGAAGAGGTAACACCTGAAGAAGTTTTAGACTTGTTGGAAATGGAATTGATTAAAATGCGACTAGAAAGGGATATGCCTGACCATGTGGTAGCTGAAGATGCACCCAAGTATATTGTCAAAGAACTGCCAGAGGAAATCGAAGAAACGACTGTATTTGAAAATGGGGTTCCAAAGAAAGTAGTAACAAAAACCAGAGTAATAAAAACACGAAAAGGTGACAAAGAAGAGACTACGCACATAGTGTCAGTAGAAGAAGAAGGCAAGCTTCCCCAAACAACTGTAACCGTTGAAGAGGAAACGGTAACGACAAAAGTAACAGAGCAACCAATTTATACAGTAGAAGAACTTCCAGAACAAGTTTCTGAAACCACAGAAATTATTAACGGTAAACCAACAAAGACAGTGGAGAAAAGAAGAGTTATTAAAACTCGAAAAGGTAAAAAGCAGGAAATAACAGAAATTGTCACTAGAGAACAGGAAGGACAGCAGCCGACAACCACTGTTGAAATCGAAGAAATTGAAGCACCATTAATTAAAGAAGAAGAACCGCATTACGAAGTTCAAGAGCTGCCGGTTGAAATACAACAAACAGTAGTAATAGAAGATGGTGTGGCAAAGAAGAAAGTGCAAAAGAAGCGAACGATTAAAACTCGCAAAGGTGACAAAGAACAAACGACCGAAATTTTAACTCTTGAAGAAGAAGGTAAGAAGCCAGAAACTATCATTACCACAGAAGAAAAACCAATTGCCGAAGCTGAAGATCAATTATCGGAGAGCATAGAAGAACTGCCTACAACTGTTCAACAAATGACTATAATTGAAGACGGAATACGAAAGACTCGCAAAATTAAGAAGCGGGTAATTAAAAAGCGCCGTGGTAGCAAAGAAGAACAAACCGAAATTATCACCGTTGAACAAGAGGGCAAATCACCTCAAAGTACAGTAACAGTGGAAGAAATTCTAGTACCGGAAGAAGATAAGCCTAAGAAGAAAAAGCCAAAACACAAAAAGGCTGAAGAAATTCCATGGACTGAACAAGTGCAATTAAAACCGACTAAAAAACCAAAGAAACCTACAGAGAAACAACAAATGGAAGAAGTGGAGCTCAAGCCATTTGAGGTTCCCGATAAAGAAGAGCCCACGTTCAAAGTTGAAGAGCTTCCCCTTGAAATTAAGGAAACTACTGTTATCGACCAAAAGGGCGACTCCAAGAAAAAAGTTGTTAAAAAACGAGTCATAAAGAAACAAAAGGGCGACAAACAGGAACGAACTGAAATAATTACAACAGAAGAAGAAGGTAAGCCAAGTGAGACTACAGTTACCATAGAAGAACTAGATTTCCTTGAAGACAAGTCCCCAATATATGCAATAGAAGAATTGCCAGAACAAGTTCTAGAAACAGTTATAATTGAGAAGGGTGTACCTAAAAAGAACGTCACAAAGACTCGTAAAATCGTGAAGAAAGAAGGTGGCAAAAGAGAAACAATTAAAATAGTCACCACCGAAAAGGAAGGCGAGCAACCGGAAACAATTGTAACAGTCGAAGAAGATGTAGCTCCCTTGGAAAGTGAAACAGCAGAACCAATATACGCCATAGAAGAACTGCCCATTGAAATTCAAGAAACAATAGTTATTGATAAGGGCATTCCAAAGAAAACAGTTATTAAGAAGCGCAAAATTAAAAAGCAGAAAGGGGATCAAGAGGAACTAACTGAAATTGTAACAGTAGAAAGAGAAGGTGAAAAACCAGAGACTACTGTGACTGTGGTGGAAGAAGACATTCTTGATCAGCTTCCATTGAAGCCATCCGTTCAAGAACTTCCAGAAGAAGTCGAACAAACTGTAATCATGGATCAGGGCAAGCCTAGAAAGAAAACCATTAAGAAAAGAAAAATTAAGAAGAAGGAAGGGGATAAAGAAGAAACCACCGAAATCGTCACAGTGGAAGAAGAAGGAAAAACTCCGGAAGTCACTGTCTCAGTAGTTGTGGAAACAATAACTGAAGTTGAAGACACCATTGTTCTGAAAGTTGACGATGATAAACCCAAGAAAATTAAACCGAAGAAACATACTATAGAACAACAGCAAATGAAGCCGGAAGAAATAAAATTGAAGCCTACCCAACTGCCACAAAAACCGGAAAAGGCCGAAGTTGAAGAATTTGCATTGCCGGAGCTAGTTAAACTGAAACCTGTTGTTAAGATCGAGCAACCAGACAAAAGCGAAGACTTGGAAAAGGTTATATTAAAACCAGTGGAGCAGCCCGACTTAATGGAAGCAAGCATAATTGAAAAGAAAGTGAAGCCAACGAAGAAGAAGAAGCACGACGTTGAACTGCCAGAAATTCCGGATGCTGAGAAATATATTCCTGAGGTTGCTGAAAAATATGAGTTTGAAGAAAGTCCTAAAGAGCAGGAAGATATCCCTGCTACTCCTTGGAGGCGACAGCCAAAACCAAAGGTAGAAGCAGAGGCTGTTGAAATGCCAGGCTTAAAACTAGGCAAAGGAAAAGTTCCCAAAGAAGAGGACGTTCAGGAAGTAGTAAAGCTAAAGCCGGTTAAGAGGGATAAAAAAGGAGACGTTGAAATTCCCGAAAAATCGAAACCTATTAATGTTGAAAAATCCGAATTCGAACCAAAAGAATTCGAGAAGATTCCGATCACTGCACCTAAACGGGAAACTGAAGACACTCCTAAAGAAGACGAAATAACTGTCATTGAGCTGAAACCTACGGAAGTCACCGAAGAAGAGCACGCTCCTGATGAAACAACACCATGGAGAAGGACACCTAAAAAGAAGAAGGACGAAGTTCCCGAGGTAAAGGAATGGCCTCGGGGTAAAAGAAAACCTTTACCCGCGGAAGAGGTGGAAGATATTAGTCTTAAACCAATCGATAAAGTTATACCTGAAGAACCAGTGCATAAAGTTATCACCAAAGACGTAAAATCTGAGCTTGCATACGAAGTGTCTGAAGGGGACTTTACTGATAAACTGGGTCTGAAACCGGAGGACAGAAAAGAAATTCCAGAAGAAGAGGTAACAACAATAACAAAGAAGAGAAAAATTAAACAAAAAGATAAGCCGAAACCGGAGAAGCCGGAAGAGGTTGTTTTAAAACCAATCCCCAAAGAAGAAATTCCGGTAGAATTAATTTCTACCAAACTGGATGATGTTGAAGAAACTCCTTTAGTTCCCGAAGTATCAGAAACTGAAATAACTCTTATGGATAAAGAGAAAAAACCAAAAGAAATATCAGTCCCCGAAAAGCCATCTATCAAAGAGAAAGAAGATGAAGAGTTTAAAAGAGACATTGATGTCCAAATAGTGTCCAAGAAGGTCAAAATTGAGAAGAAAAAGCGCACTGTAAAGTTCGACGACAGCCAACCTCTTCCCGAGCTTGAAATCATTTCTCAGAAACGTACTACTGAAGTGACCGATAAAGTTCCAGATGAACAACTCACGGAACACACTGGTTTGCATGAGGAAACTACAATTCAAACATCCCTCGTCCAAAAAACACTTGGCAAACGCGTTAAAACAAAAACCGTCGCTCCACGATTTATCAAAAGGGTTGAGCCTGTGGTGGCCGAAGAAAGCCATCCTACTCGCTTGGTGTGCAAAGTGGAGGGTACTCCTTTCCCAGAAATAACCTGGTATAAGAACGAAGCTGTCTTCCGGGGCAATGAGCGCGTTTTTATCACAGTCGTAGAGAATACCGTCACTTTGGAGTTTACCAAAGTGGAACCACAAGATGTAGCCGTTTATTCGTGCAAAGCTACCAATCCGGCAGGAGTTGCTACTTCTACCGCTAATCTGGTTATCTTAGGTATGGTCGTGTGGAAAAATAACGGCTTCAGTGTGTTTACGCTAATTTGCCTTTCGTTATTTGCGCAATTTGTTAGTTTAACTGATATAGGTTCACTTGGCTGGGCCAAGGATTTGGATTTGCTTATTACCGATAATAAAGACATTTTCATTGAAAGGCATAAATTTGCAGTACCATAAAACAGCCCATCGGATTGTTTTCAAATGCATGACACGTATATCAATTTAAAAAACTAGGATATTTTGATGATTTGTTGCTAATAAGCAATACTTTTTGTATCAACTGTTTTCTTATTTTAATGCTTTTCTAGAAAAAGAAGAATCAGGAATTGCTCCTCGATTTACCAAACCGCTCAAGCCAAAAATTGTTGAAGAAACAGCACAGGCAATTTTGGAAGCTACTGTCATCGGTCAACCAACTCCAATTGTGAAGTGGTTCAAGGAAGATGAAGAAATCACGCCGCAACCCGGAAGGCAAATTACCTATGATACCAAGACTGGAATAACAACTTTGGAAATTCTGGAGCCGTCACCCGATGACGAAAAAATCTATAAAGTAATGGCTCAAAACAAATTCGGAACTGCCGTCTGCAGAGCCAACCTCATCGTTTCGAAGGCTGTAGAAGTTCAACAGCCTGTAATAATGCAAGCCCCAAAGATTACAAAGCCTATTAAAGCTGTTGTGGCCAAACCGTCAGATGAAGTGGTGCTTGAAGCTGATGTTGAAGGTATTCCCAAACCTGAAATTGCGTGGTACCGGAATGGCAAAGAAATTAAACCCGATGACAAATATGATATTACGGTAACAGAAAACACGACCACACTGGTGATCAATAAAAAAGTGCCGAAGAAACTAAAAGCTGGCAAATATGAAGTGCGTGCCACTAATCCGAGAGGAGAAGCAAAATCGGCAAGCACCGTAGTGATCACCGAAGAAACCAGCGAAGCCAAAGCACCAAGATGGATCAAGCCCATCAAACCTCAAATAGTAGAAGAAGGAGAGGTCGTAATTCTGGAATCCATTGTTGAAGCCATTCCGACAGCCACATTCCAATGGTACATACGGGACACTCCCGTTACCTCTAGTCCAGATGTTCGTATTGTAACCAAAGACAATAAATCAACACTTCTCATCAGCGAAATCACTCCAGAATTTGCCGGTCCAATTACATGCAGAGCTGAAAATGTGGCTGGATCCATAACTCACACAGCCTCGGTCAATATTGTTAAGGAAACTCCTTGGCAGGAGACTGAAGAGCTGGTATATCCAAGATTCGTCAAACCCATATCTCCAATCAGCGTTATGGACGGCGAAAAAGTTACCTTCAGCTGCGTGGTAATTGGAAAGCCAACTCCAAGAGTACAATGGTATTTTAATGACACACCCATTCACGAAGCGCAAGACGTAGTGGTGTCTCAAGATAACGAAGGTGTTTGCAGCTTAGCTATTTCGGAAGCTTTTCCAGAAAATGCTGGCGAATACACTTGCAGGTAAGCTCAACCTGCTTAATTATTTTAATACTTCTTGAACAGAGTTCGATTTTCAATTAAATTTGCTGATCAAATTATATAAATGTTTGTTCCACAGAGCTATCAACAAGATTGGTGAAGCAGTTTGCAAAACATCATTAGTGGTGGAAGCCTACGAATACGTTCCAGATTCCGAGCTCGGTCATATGACCGGCTCGGAAGAAGACTTACTAGAAGATAAGACGATAAGTGAAGGCCTCATTACATCAGATGAAGAAGAGTTTGCCCCCAGAATAATCAAGAAATTACCTGAAGTTGTGCAAACTCAGGATGGCCAAGTTACAAGGTAAAAATCATGCTGTACAGAGGGCTTATAATATAAATCATATTCGTGCCAAATGATACTTTAAATTATCAGTAATATCGAGAAATACTTAAATTCAAATGTTTGGTGTTAAGTTAGTGATTTCAAAAATTGAATCTCCACTATCTACTGTAAAAAGCTTCCGATTGAACAAAACACAAAATGCCACCAAAAAGAATAACATAATTCATTCACATTCTTCAAAAGAATGAAAACAGAAAACTGGAGGCACGAGTTGACAACAATCGCCTGAAATTATAATTTAACTACGAGGGCTTGCTGCACTTGCTGGGCACAACAAAACTTTCGAAAACGTGACTCACAAACTTAAACCCTAACGAACAAAACGCTGTCATTGTTCTATAAATAGGGACTTACATCAAACACTAAAAAAAAATCAACTTTGGCTCGCAAACCACAGACTTAAGACTAACGCCCCTAGAATCATTGCAGACGGTCAAATCACAAACCCAAAAAGCGACGTAAAACTCGTAGGAATCGCAATTGATTACAAACTAGAAGTCACTAAACACACACGAAACATCAGAACACAAACAATAAATAGATCAAAACAAAGGCAAAGAAATTAGCACAAATACCGCCACAAAAATTTACAAAGCGATTTGCAGACCTCAGACTACGGAGATATATTCTAGTCAAACGGATCAGGAACGACAAAACAATTTATGCAAATAGCAAAACAAATTGCACTAAGAAAAATAACACGAATGGGACCCACTACACAACCCATCAAATAAATTACTGTACCAACTCACAAACATGATCAGAATAACCAACAGATTAAAGCAAATACACAAAATGGAAAAACAACCTGCATAATTGGACTATCTTGTTTCCTATGTTACTTGAACACCTTACGCTACAACTGACTCAAATTGTAACTACAAGGGCAAAACGGTAAAGGTGGTCGATGGCCTGTTTTGATGGAACTAAAAGTTGATCATTCATACAATATTACATTTTACAAATGATTAAAATGAACTAAAACAAATAATAAACTTATAATGGTCGATATCGGCAAGGGCTATTCCACTTAATTTACTTACCACCAACTTAAACCCTTAGATTTCAGACGATAATGAAACTAATTATCTCTTTAACTGGCATTCTATAAATACGGGATGAATTCATCTAAATTAAAAACATTCTGGCTTTGTAATACTTACTGAGCAACTTGATTAATGCAGCTTCAATTGCCAAATTATTAACTGATTCAGATTGGAGGTCAAAGCTATTGGTAGACCCAAACCAGAAGGGAAATGGCTGAAAGAAGGAGACGAAATCCTGCCATCGAATGAATTCATCATTGAAAACTTTGAGGATGGAACATCCATCTTGACACTACCTGAGACGTATCCAGATGATGTCGGAGAAATCGTTTACGAGGCAGAAAACCCGCTGGGTGTCGCATCCACAGTGACACACTTACTTGTGGAAACTGTCGAAGGTAAAACAGCTAGTTTTTCTCGGAGCTACAATACGATAATCGAAAATTTCTTTCAGTCAGCCTCAGAAGCATTTTCTCTCTATTTTTACTGTCCCCTTGCCATATGTCTTTTACAACATTTACACATCTCCAAAAACACAACTTTATGTTGTACTGTCCGCGATTATCTGCTTGTATATATTTTTAATGATTTTGTTTCGACGTTTTAGGTATTGTCGGTACAAAAATGTACCGCAAACCCGAATGGGTCACCCATATGGAAGAACTATCGACAGCTCTAAAAGGTAAATATGAGCCTAGCGTGTCTTCGCATGCATGTTCTATCGATATATCAGCTGACAGCTTAGAAAAAATACCCAACAAAAAGTCCACGAAGAATTTACATGAAGGTAAGATATCTTCTAAATCATTGAGTAGCACTTGCAATGAGGACCGGCCGTTTTACATGGAGATTGAATCCGGGTCCAGAACCAATTCCCAAGGGTCCATCCAGAGCGAACCTTCACTCGAAAGATCCAGATGCAGGGATGATTTCATTACAGCTACAATGGCTGATTACCTCAACTCACATAGACACTCCGTGGGGTCAGTCATGGAATTGTTGTCTTCAAATAAACCCTCAGATTCTCATTATGAGAGTTTTGATGTCGTTAATAGCGACTATGAAGAACTCGAGCAACCAAGTGTGCTTACTTTGGAATCTCAGGAAATGTATGAGGAAGATAATGAAAACGAGCCGTTCTATATCTTATCGCCTATAGAGGAAAAAAGTGAACCGTCGACTAGATCGAGTAGTTTTCGGGGTAGCAGTGGGTCTGAGCAACGAAGACAGTATTCGTCTTCTTACAATGCGTTACCAAAGGCGTATGAAGATCCAGATTTTCTACAGCAAGAACGCTATCACACAATACCGAGAATGAAGAACGATTCGAGTTCGAGCAAAGATTTAAGTAAAAACTATTATGATAACACCATGTATCCTTTAGAACCTCGAGAAATCGATCCCAGCGCGTTCTTTCAATTACATACAGCGGATTCTCAAGAGGAGCTGCAGGAGTTTCTACTTCTGGAAAGTGAATGTATGAGTGATAGGGGCAGGGGGCTTGCTTCAGCGTTCAGCCCCGTGCCCGATGATTCTGAGTATGAAAATCAAGGTAACCTAACAGCGTGTGTTTTTGTGTGCTGCTTCACTAATTGATTGTGTTTCGTCTTGTTGCATTTGTTTAGACCAGTAAGTTCCTCCCTCCAGCATGAGCAGGCAAGCAAAAGCATTTGAACAACCAGGTAATGACCCGACCCCGTATGAGAAATGTTTGACATGAATTATGCTGTGTTTTCAAATCTCAATAAATTATTGAATTTATGTAATTAATTCAGGCATTTGAATAAATCAGTTTTTAATTGTCGTCATGGAATGTTGATGTAAACGTCCTCGTAAAGCGACATTTAAAGTAATCAACTATTTATTGTTTTTATGTTGTGCATCTTGAAACATGTCTGAACCCAATTTGAAAAATGCATTATCATGCCCCTCCTTAACTTTCCCCAACAATTTTGCAACAATTTACCGCAGAAATTGTCATGAGTTTTCAAATTTTTAGCTGTGCACTCCGTACCTACCTTCGTCAAAGAAATCACAGATATCCGAACAACAGAGGCTGAGACTATTGTATTTGAATGCATATTCACTGGAACCCCATCCCCAGGTAAATGTGCAATGCTGAATCCAAAACAGTCAATTAATTGTTGCATATAATATAACTTTTCAGATATCGTATGGTACCACAACAATAAAGTGCTACGCAACGATAATCATGTGAAAATCCGAATTGAAGACAACAAGACTACGTGTACGATCACTGAAATCACTAAAGATCATGTGGGTACCTATGTCTGCAAAGCCATTAGCGATATTGGTGAAGCAACTACAAAGGGGCAGCTGTTCGTCCAAGAAATTCCTGAACAGGCTAAGAAGGCCATTCTCGTAAAGAAAGCTAAAGAGGAAGAAGAACGAGTCAAGAAAGAAAGAGTTACTATCGAGAAAAAGCGCGAACTGAAGAAGAAAAAGCGCGCGTCGCTGCTCACAGAAGAAGAAATCAAACCACTGGATGTAACAGAAATCCAATCAAGTGAGGTGACTGAAGAAATACCGTTGTCGACTACAGAAGAAGCCAAAGCAAAACCGATTTTGGATATTCTAGAATCAGTAAAGACTGAAGCAATAGCCTCGTGCAGGAAAATTGACGAAAAAGAGGAAGAGTCTCCCCTGAAAAAGGGCACAGCAAAACTTTCTCCCACTGAACCACTGCGTATCGATGAAGTCCTGGCTGAAGAAATTATTAAAGATATCGAGAAGATCTTGCCCCAGGTCGAAAGAGCCAGACCCACAACTCAAGAAGGGCCGGAAGAAACCGTGAATATCACCGAGGTGAAACTAGAACAAATAATTGAGAGGTGCGAAAAAATAATACGAAAAAGTGAAGTGAAAATGGCCAGAGAAGTCACTCACTTGTTAGAGTTGATCAACGCTAAAGAATTTGGCGTAGGCCAGGCACCTCTTCGCGAAATTGCCGAAATCGTATATTTGCTGAGGAACGGAATCACCGTTAAAGAGGTCACAGTTCTCTATGATGACAACAAATTTCCATCGCTAAAATCCCCAGAAGCTCAATCTGCCATGGTCAATGTGGTAGAAAGGAAGGGCCATGGGGCTCTAATATCGGAAGTTTTGACTGAAGAAACAACCATCGACGAAAGCCAGTTAGCGGCTACTGTAGGATTTAGAGCCATGATGAAGATGGTTGAAGCCAACTATGTATCCGTAGAGGAGATCCTCACTAATTTCACCCCAGAAGATTTTATGCAAAGGGTATGGGAAGCAACTGAAACTGTGGAGGTAAGTTTGGAGATGATAAAAATCACATTTCAGAATTATACAGCCCATAAGAACTCAAAAATGTTCTTGCATATTCGATTTCTATTATAAATTCAGGGAATCGACCAATCGGCTGTTTGATAAATTTGTTTTATGGAAATCTGATACTTTAGACTCACTCTACAGGATGACTACTTACGATTTACTTAATGAGTAGGGTAAAATGATAAAAATACAAAATTTCGTTTATTTCCGGTAAATATTGTCAGTTGTACTTGCTCAATTAGTGTTAATACCGCTACTTTTCTGAGAATGAATGTACTCAAAAATCGTTCGACTTTTGACGAATTACACTAATTGTGAATCACGCTGCCTGGTCATTGGCCTGCACAATTATTCAAAAAAATCAATTCAAACAACAGACTTAATGTGTTTTCGTATCTGTGTAGGTCCCGAAAGAAGTTCCGCTTCAAACGACCATTTCCTCACAAGTGGAAGTTCACGAGGGTGAGTTGTGTTTTTACGCTTAAGAAGTATGTGCTTTCAAAAGACTGTTGGCGTCGCTATTAATTAGCCTGCAGAGTGCTTAATACCTTGTGTCTGTGCTGTATATTTTTGTCTGCTGCTGTACATTTGTCTGTATATATGTGCTAATTATGTTGTGTAATAAAATGCTCTTGATTTGTTTGTTTTAAGTTTGTTAACCGATTAGTGGAATAAATTATTTTTATACAAATAGTAATTTTCTTGTTTCAATATTTCTTCTAGATACGACGACGAAAATCGTAAAGAGAAAATCTAAAAAGAAGGGAGAAAATGAAGGTGAGTTCATAACTTGGGTGACGCTTTAAAGATTAGTGTATTTGAGAGTCGTGTAGAGTTGAAGCATTTTGAAAAGTCGTTGGTGGGTCGACTTTGGCCGCGATATTATTTCATGGCATAATACTAGTGTACTCGCCGATCACATTTTCAGTTTCTCAACCGCTTTCCGCACAGCTTCTAGTGTTAACACAATAATAATTAATATAAAGTGATTTAGGTGCGACTAAGGCAATATTTCTTTGCAACTTTAAGTAGCCGCACAGCAAGTCAGTGTCATTTACATTTAGCCGCATGGCTTATAGTTTTTTAGCGCTTGAAGGTATGTAATTTTTATATTTTTATATTTTTATTATATTTTTCAATACCTCTCATCCAACCATCTATCACTATACTTACACAGTATGCCAAAATAAAATTCCCTACTCTATAACAAATACTGAAACTAATGCTTACAACACTACTCTTATTAAGACACCCTATGCTTCTTAGCACAACGTATAGAAGGCAAATTAGTGATTACTTTAAATATGAGATTAGACACACAATCCTCTATCATACAAACACTTTCACAGAATCCCTCGAAATCAGCGAAGTCCGTGAACGTACCGTGCAGGGTGACAAAGCAACATTATCTAAGAGACACTCCGTTGAAATTACCGAGATCATAGACACACCTGAGACCCGTAGAAAAACAGACGTAGAAATCATAGAAGAGATTGACAAAGAAAGGATCGTAAAAAAAGTATTAAAAACGCGACGTCCTCATTCAGAAGAATACCTTATAGATGAAGAGGATGTTGACAAAATCCTCCCTATCGACTTCCATCCTCAAACTCAACTGCCCCAAAATATACCGTCGGTGGTTTCCGAAGCCACACATAAAGACGAAATTACCCAAATTGATCGGGATTTAGAAAAAGTCAAGGCAACAGTAGGAATTCTGCCCTTAAATGCTATTTCACAAGAGCAACCAATTTCTCAAGAATCTGAACAACCGAAAGCAGAGGTTACAACAATAACGCAACAAGCTTATCAAACCGTTGACCAGTTCGAGGCCTATGAAACTTCCGAAATTAACTCGCAAAACATTCCAGCACATTTTGACTCAACCATGAAACCGCAGGCATATAATGCGGACCGAAATATTACAATAACAGAGAGCCTAGTGATCGAAGAGATTTACGCAGGCGACACTTCTATCACCTTGGAATCCAAGCAAGTATCAGAAACAAAAGCTGAGTTTAGCATAATTGAACAGAAAGCGTCCAATATTCAAGAAGTCGAAGTGCACCAAAAGGAAGAGACTTTCAAACCTCTCGAATATGATCAGAAATATCCTTTTGAAACTCACATTCCAAAAGACAGTTCAGAAGCTTCATCAACCAGCCAAGTAACTCAAATAGATCATACTGTGGAGCAAGCAACAGCCGACATCAATATCTTACCACAGATGGTTCCGATACAGGAAAAATGCGAGGCTGACGAAAAAGAAGGAGATCATAAACAGTCTGCCACTGTTTTATCTCAGGCGTCAAGAACCATCGACTCAGTAGAAGCGTTCGAAACAACCGAGCAAAACGTCCAGAATCAAGTGGGAGAATACGACAAAACATTCAAGCCCTCATTTTCTAATGCCCAACCGGCTTTTAGTATTTCAGAGAGCATAAACATACATGAAATAAATCTTGGAGACATTCCCGCTACATTATCAATCGAAGGCCAAGTTGAGGGTCAAGCCTTTGTTTCAATACTTGAACAGGAAGCTAAACATATTCAGCAGGTGGATGTTTCAGATAAGGAAAAAGACTTAGAAGCTTTTGCTGCTCCTAAAGGAGTTGAGGCTACAAAAGCATTCATTACTCAAGAAGGAATTTCCATTGAAGAAGTGCAGCAAGCAATGTCGGAAGATAAAATGGACATTGTCAAACCTGTAGGAGTCAAACCGAAAATGAACATTGATACTCAAGAAAGCCTAATTGTTGAACAAGTCCTTACTGGAGATAAGCCTGGAAAATATCTTCCTCAGGCATTTGTAGCTACCGAAGTGGCTACAAGATCTATCATATCCCAAAAGTCGATTACACAGTCCCATATTCAGGCTCCAGAGCTTGAAGGCGAATATACTCCAGGAAAACTGCCCCCCACCCAGGTAGCAAATGAGAACATCTCATTGACAGAAGGAATATTGATTTCTCAAACTCAAACTGAAGACAGGGAGAAGGTATTTTCAAAATCCAACAGTCCCGAACGGGCCAACGCCCTAGAAGACATCCTTCTACACGAAAGTTTGGTAGTCCGAACAGTAGATAGCCAAGCACCGCAAGGAGACATTACAACTGAAGAAACTGAACAATTTACTGCTACCGTTGATATCACTGAAAAGCAAACCGTTCAAACTGAATCAGTTGTAGCTGCAGAGTCTGAAAATATTTATGAGCAGAGCCAAGTCGACACCAAAGTGGCGACCAGTGATTTTAGACTACTTGAAGTAAGCGAAAATGCGTTTATCACCGCACATGAGTCAGAGAATGACTTGGCACCGGATGAACATAAAACCAAAGTCTTGGCCACCTCAAGTATTGGTCCTAAGGAATCTTTGGTTGTGGAAGAAGTGGAGACTGGAGATTCACCCAGTGAATTTACCGATCACCTGAAATACAAAACTGATTCAGCCGAAACCAATATTCAAACTACGGAAGCGCAAGTTACTATTGAGACCCAGGCTGGTGAGAGTGAAATGCCATCAGAACAAAGTCAACCAGAAGCGTACAATATTGACACAACTATAACCAGAACTGTAGACGAGATTTGCATAACTGAAAATCAAACGATGGAAAGTGAAAAGTTATTAGAACAGTTTGAAACACCAGAATCTCAAAAGGGCAAACAGACAAGATCACACTTACTTCCAACCGGAATAAGTGAAATAGTCGAAGTAGATGATAGCGAGAGTAATTTGAAAATTGACAACTTAGAGCAAGGCCCAGCCAGTTTCAATCAGCCAACATTCACAGAAACTGTTATTTCTGAAGCTGTTGCTGATGAAGGTTTGAATGACATAGAAAGCGAAAAACCTGAAGAAAAACAAGCTTCGTCTGAGGTCCTTCTCCAGCAAGCCGTCAATATTTCCGAAGTAGTGGCCGATGATCGCGAAAAGCCATATAAATCATCTGACGTTAATACGCAAGAAGCTACAGTTAACATTTCGTTTAGCCAAGTGGCCAGCCAAACTATCACCGATTCGAATATTGCACCTGAAGATCTAATGGTGTCAAAACCGGTGGAAGAAACGGCGCAAGTTGATCAAAGTACAATAGAACATGTTTACACTTTGCAGCATGAAACAGGGGAAAAGGAATCTGAATACATAAAACAGCAGCCCGATGCTAAATCAGCTTTGTTCGGTTTAACTGACGGGCTTAGTGGTCCCAATGTAATGCAAGTAACCATAAATGAGAAAGAAGATGAATATTCTCCACATATCACTCCACTTGAAGGGCTGGGGCAACCAAATATTACAGCTCACGATGTTGCGGTGAAAACTGAAGTGGAACTGGTGGTTCATACTGATGAAATAATCGAAGATGAATTGCTTACTGGTAAAGCCAAGAAATATACTAAACCATACAATGAACTAATTGTAACTGAATCCAATGCAGTGGATGTTCACAAGGATTTACCAGCTGATATTCATCCATATTCCAAGCATGCCAATGTTGACATCTTGCCAGGTCAGGCTCTGTCCGTTACTGAAACCAGAGCTGAGCAAAATGAAGAACAACTCACCGTTTCAGATGTAGATAAGTCCAATGCCGTTGTTGGGATTGAAGAGCAACAAGTTGCGACTAAAGAACAAATAATCGCGGATAATCAAACCGGCGTTTTCGATCGCATCTCACCAGAGAAACAGTTAGGTATCACTAGACAAGATCTATCGCACCCTCTCGTTCAAATGGAAATTGCCGCAGGAGAAACTGAAGGATACAGTAGCGAAGATATCAAACCAAACTCTAAACAGGCAGACGTTTTATTTGGTGAAGCTGAAGGTATCAATGTTAGTGAAGTATTCGCTGGAGAAGCAGAATCGAATCTGCCGCAGGATGAATCTCCCCAAGTTGATCGGGGAAATGTAGCTATTTCATCTCACATAATTGCTGTTAAAGAAGAAGTCCAACCACAAGATTCCACAAATGCATTGAAAGAAGAGGAACGGAGAACAGAAAATGCTAAAACCCAATTTAGTCCGCTGGACACCATTATTACGACCGAGTCAGTAGTTGGAGAACAAGAATCCAATATTGAGAGGGAACATCGTGATACTCAAACTGCTACTTCTGAGTTCGAAGAAGCTATCCCCATTTCTGTAACCTCGATAACAGCGGCAATAAAAGAGACAGAACTCATAAAAGACGAAATCAATTTGAATCAAGCAGAGCAGATCTTATCACCACAGGAAAATATACAAGTCGATGAAGTACTAGTGAACGACTCATTTACAGATTTTGATCGATCCTCGCCAACCAAATTTATTGCATCATCAGTGCATTCGCAAATGCGATCAATTACTGAAACTGAATTAATTACTGGGGAAAAGGAAGCAAACCTAGAAAAAGATGTTCAGCCTTTGCAGCAAAGCGCCGAAGTTGAATTTGGGGAAATTACTACGGCTGAGACTACTGAAACCGTGATTTCAGAAAAAGAAGGCAAACATGATACTGAAGAAGCTACAAGCTTAGTCGCCCTTACCTCAATTGATGCACAACCAGTTGCTGAATCTAGCCAACCTGAAAGTCAAGATCAAGTATCATCACTAATTGAGCAAAAGCCGGCCTTTGCAAATGCTAATCCAGAAACATCGTTGATAGAAGGTTTAACCCAAACTGAGACACTAGCACAAGAGAGCGAAACCTACTTCGAAAAGCCCGTTTTAGATACGAAATCTGCTACAGTGGACTTCACATCTCAGCACGCCGTATCAATCAGTGAGGTAAAGAGCAATGAAACTGAAACCAATTTACAAGTAGAGGACAAACCGACCGGAAACCAGGCTACTGTTGGACTACTAGGACATGAACTTCCTGTGAGAAGCGAACTAGAGATTAACGAAAACACTGGTGATTTACAATCCAGTCAACCTGAGCATTCATCAGCACAACCAGAAATTTCAGCACTGAGTACTGCCTTGCAAACTGAGACGCTTATATCGGAAACTGAAGGCAAAAGCCCCGAAGCAGAAAAAATCGACCAGCGACATGTAACGGTGAGCATCGATGAAGATGTGGGAGTAGTGGTAGAAACAGTCACTGTGGCAGATAAAGAAACAGATTTGCTAACCGAACGACCCAGCACCAAAGAGGCTGAAGTGAATCTTTCAGAAAGCAACGTCATTGCCTCACAAAGTGAAGTTAACCCCAACGAAGGAATTCTAGACCTCGAAGAACTGAAACCAGATGAAACAACAGCTTCAAGCAGTATAATATTTTCAAATACACTAACCCAAACGCAACAGACAGCAATCGAGGCCGAAACTGACTTAGCCGACTTCAAAAAGCCCCTGTCAACGGCTGCTATCATTGGTGTAGAAGCAGTTGAAGGAATCACAAGCGAACAAACGACTGTAGCTGAAAAAGAGCAGCATTTGGCCGAATTTCAACTGCCGAGCAGTAAAACTGCTCTTCAAAATATTGATATACCAGGAAAAGTGGCAGGATATGAAACTACCGATATTCGCGAAAATCCAGGTTTCTTCCAACAGTCGCAGTTCGAGCAGTATCAGGCTCAGCCTGCCGACGAAGTTTTACATAGTCTAATTGTAACGCAAAATATGTCTGAAGAAAAAGAAACAGACTTTCAAGGTGAATTTAAACCAGAAACTTCCACAGTAGAACTCTCGTTAGAGAAAGGCAGAATTGTGGTGAATATCTCGGAAGTAACGACCGAAGATAAGGAAGGATATATTGCCGATTTGGAGAAACCGAACGAACAATCCGCTATTGCCGCAATAGATGCCGTACAAGTTCCGGTAACTGCCGAAACGATCAGCAGCGACAACACCGGAGTTTCTGAGTATCAAGCACCGCAAAGCTCTTCGGCAGTTTTGAGGCAAGATGAACTATGCCAGCTGGTTCAAGAAAGTCCGCAACTTCATGAGCGTGAAGACGTTTTCGAAAAGACTGTACCTTTGAACAGAAAGCAAGCATCAGTTGCGTTCGATGAAGAACAAACTGTTGAGACTAGTGAGGTCGTCAGTGCCGAACGTGAAACTGCCTTTGATAAATCCCCTGCTCCAGACACAAGTACTGCTGATTCTTCAGTTTCTGGACACATAACTGCTCAGGTGTCGGAAGTTCAGACCTCCGATCAGACTAGCGAGTATATAGTCGAAAAACCAAAAGAAACTACTGCCGGTGAAGATCAACCCACTTTTGATTATCTAAGTCAGGGGCAAAACTTGGTATTAGAAGATTACTTAGATCAGGATACGCCGGACGTTGCAAAAAAAACAGCTGAGACCAAAATTGATGAGATTAATTACCTCGATATATCTGAGGTGGTGCTGGGTGATGCGTATGGCAAGGCTTCGAAGGAACCCTTGCTTGTAGAAAATGCTTATGAGCAAATAGACGAGGCAACGGCCTTGGTTCAAAGTCATGTGGTTCCTCATGATACGTTGACTGATTTAACCGAAGATGTTCAAAACACCCAAGTGGTTAATATAGTGCAGGAAATGTTACAAAGTATCACTCAATCGCAGAGCAATGTTCAAGATTCAGAAAAGCCAATGGATCAGCAGCTAAAGCCCGACACCAAACAGGCCGATTTAAGCATTGGAGAAATGTCGTCGGTCGAAATATCTCAAACTGTTTCAGATGAAAAAGAGGGACGATTTGTGCCTGGAGAACTGCCCGAAGAAAAGTCTAGCTTATCCATTATGCCCCATCACTCGCTAGTAAGCAGTGAAGTGCAATCAAGTGATGATCTTGCACAATTAGCACTTATTTCACCTAAGGAAACATTAGCCGAAATAATTCGCGATGAGCTAACTGCGATTAGTACTCACGAACAGAAAACTGAAGAAAAAGAGGTGCCATTTACCGACCAGCCTGCAGTAGCTTCTACAGCCGACCGTACAATAATGCCTACTCAGTCCGTTAACATTACTGAAATTATCACTCAAGATAGTGAAACAATTTTGCACAAGTCCATACCTCTAGAAGCACAAGCTGAGGAGAGTGTTCTACTGCAGGAAGCTACTGAAATCCGTGAAACCAAAAGCGAACAAGACATAGATTTACTGAAAATTGAACAACCTCAGGATTATCAGGCCTCACTAGAAACGTTGCCGCTTACATCCATTACAGTTACAGAAAATGTCTCGGTGGAGAAAGAATCAGAACATGTAAAAGATAAATCACCTCTATTAAGTAAAGCTGATACAAATTTGGAAAATGCCAACAAGGTGGCAAGCATATCTGAGATATTAACTAACCAGCTGGAAAAGGATATGATGCCAGACCAACCTCAAGAAGGCAAAGCGGTTCTAGAATTTACAGAACACAACGTCATCGAAGAAGCTGACGCTAACGCGTTAGAGGCATTAGGTAAATACAACAAAGACAGCAAACTGACTACTTCCCAAGTACATGTTGATTTAACAGAAGCCAGACACGTAGCAAGTGTAGCAGAAGTACTACAAACTCAAGCTGAATCTGAATTTATTCCGGGCACTACAAAAACAGAGTTAGCCTCAGAAGCAATTTCAGAACACAAAGCAATCGAAGAGTTACAAATTCGATGTCTAGAAGCTTTGGGTGAAAAACCCAAAGCTGAAAGCCCAGAATCATTTATGGCTGGCTACGTGTTACCGGATTTGGCTTCCGCAGCAAATGTAACAGAAGTCTTAAGCACTCAGGCTGAGTCTGAATTCACTGTTCCAAAACCCAATCAAGAAACTGCACATCCCCATTTACTAGGACTAGAAGTGGTTCAAGAACAGGAAGTTAGGGTTCTTGAAAGTTTGGGTGATCATGTAAGGGATAAGCTTCCGTTATCAGGTATTGCGGATATTAATATGGAAAAAAGCAATCAAGCAGTAAACATAACTGAAATACTGACATGTTCCAATGAAACCGAGTTAAAAGTGCAGCTTCCTTCCGACGATTTTGCCTCAGTGACTCTTATAGAGCAACGGAATATTGAAGAAACTAATGTTAAGCCTTACGAATCGCTAGCTAAGCCTGTCAGCGAAGCTGTTCCCAGAACAGATAAGGCAGCCATAAATCTAGAAAAAGCTGGAAAATCTGCGAGTATAACTGAAATTTTACCTGCTCAAATGGAATCTGATCTGGTCCAAGATGTTCCGAACCAAGAAAAAGCTACTTCAAATATTTTAGAAAGCAAACCAATCGAAGGACTCGATATAAAATCTTTCGAAAATGTAGGTGATGACATTACTACAAAGTTGCCTGACTTTTCCCAAGCTAGCGTAGATCTTGAATACACGCGTAATATCGCATCTGTATCAGAAATATTAAGCAATCAACAAGAATCTCACTTAGAAAGTTTCAAAGCTCCAACAAGTACAGCATCACCTGTGATGGATAGTTTCAAAGGGCTGAAAAGTGAGGATGTGAACGTGTATGAAAATACTACTGAATTCCATAGAAAAAAACATATACCGCAGCAGACTGCTGCGTTACATAAGGATGAGTTTGAGAGCGTTATGGAATCAACTATTACAATTCAAGGATCCACCCAACAGTTGGAAATTGAACACCCCAACAGCAAAGTTGCCGATTTCGATATGCTGACAGAGCAAAGTATTACCGTAACGCAAACGATGGCACATGGAACCGTAGGTGAAGAAATTTCAACTGTTATGGCAACTGAAACCACTGCGGAAAAACGAGTTGAAGATAAACCAGTGGGAACCAGTGAGGATGTTCTTACCCTAGATAGCGTTAATGTCATTAAACCAGATCATGTTAAGACCTTAAAAGTTCAAAGTCAATATGTTGACGTTAACCGAAGCCTTGTAGTAACAGAACAAACGGTCTCAGGTAGTGTTATAACGTTAGATCTCGAAACACCCAATCAGAAGAATGTTACAGTGGCTTTGACAGACACTGAAACCCCCCAACTGCAGATAAGTGAAGTCCAGATACTTGAACATCCAGGTAAGTTAAACCCCGACCAAAATGTGAAGCTACTCTGGATTTCAAAAACCAAGATGATCTCAATCAATAAATATATTCATTTTCTGCTTTTAAAGCATTTAATTTATTAAAAAAAGCTCCATATTGTCTATTTGCTTCTATTCGAATTACACAAATTACAGTAGTTCTTGATGGCAAAAATAATATGCATATTGAAATATAAAGTAATTAGAATTCTCGTTAGATCAGGCGTAACACTAGAGTAGCTTACCACACAAAACAAAGTAGAAGTACAATACCAAACCAAATAACACCGTACAGAAGAACACAAATCATTTTCGCGTTCATCATCAATTCGCACATAGCTTTTCAAAGGGCCTCATTAATCACCTTAAATTACAGGACCACTGGATGACACCACACAACAAATAACACACGAAACCGTCACTCAAAAAGCACCAACCTCTGAATTAGCAGACGAGTACACATCTCCGGTTAGAAAACATTCGGACGCCGAAGAAACCCATGAATTTGTAACAAGATTCAAATCCACACCAGATAGTGAAGAAGCGGCTCAAGTTGTCACCAAAAGAACCATTTTGAAAAAGAAACACAAGAAAGGTCACGAAGGTGATACTGTGATAGAAGAAATAATATCTGAAAGCACACCACAGAAAATAGATAAAACAGGACCTACAATTGAAGAACTATCAGACACTGAGAGCGAACCTCAACCTAATGAGTACACTGTTGAAGAAATGCCTGAGTCTCCAACTCCGAAAAAGAAGAAAAGTGTAAAACATATGGGTGGTAGACCGGAAAGGGGTGATATTGTAACAGTAGATGAAGCAATTTCCGAACAACCCAAATTTATTGTTGAGGAGTTACCTGAACAAATCGAAGAAACAACAGTTGTGGAGGACGGTATTCCTAGAAAAAAAGTGGTGAGAAAACGCGTTATTAAAAAGAAGAAGGATGGCAAGCAAGAAACAACCGAAATAACAACCGTTGAGCAAGAAGGTAAGAAACCAGAAACAACAATATCTGTGCAAGAAAAGGAACTCTGCGAAGAACCTGAATATGTAGTTGAAGAGCTACCTCAGCAAATCGAAGAAACAATAGTGGTTGAAGAAGGAATTCCGAGAAAGAAAGTAATTAAGAAACGCGTTATTAAAAAGAGGAAAGGTGACAAGCAAGAAATCACGGAACTAGTCACCGTTGAGCAAGAAGGCAAAAAACCGGAAACCACAATAACAGTTGTAGAAGAGCAAGTGCCTGATCAGCCTGAATATATTGTAGAAGAATTACCTGAGCAAATCGAAGAAAAAACAGTTGTCGAAGAAGGTATTCCGAGAAAGAAAGTAATAAAAAAACGCGTGATCAAAAAGAAGAAAGGTGACAAGCAAGAAACAACAGAAATAGTCACCGTTGAGCAAGAAGGCAAAAAGCCAGAAATCACAATAACGGTTGAAGAAGAGCAAGTCCCTGAACAACCTGAATATGTTGTAGAAGAACTACCTGAGCAAATCGAAGAAACAACAGTTGTCGAAGACGGTATTCGGAGAAAGAAAGTGATAAAAAAACGCGTTATTAAAAAGAAGAAAGGTGAGAAGCAAGAAACAACAAAAATAGTAACCGTTGAGCAAGAAGGCAAAAAACCGGAAACCACAATCACCGTTGATGAAGAACAAACGCCCAAACAACCTGAATATGTCATAGAAGAACTACCTGAACAAATTGAAGAAACAACAGTTGTCGAAGAAGGTATTCCAAGAAAGAAAGTCATAAAAAAACGCGTTATTAAAAAGAAGAAAGGTGACAAGCAAGAAACCACACAAATAGTAACCGTTGAGCAAGAAGGCAAAAAACCGGAAACCACAATTACCGTTGACGAAGAACAGACGCCCGAACAACCTGAATATGTCATAGAAGAATTACCTGAACAAATTGAAGAATCAACAGTTGTGGAAGGTGGTATTTCCAGAAAGAAAGTGGTAAAGAAACGCGTGATCAAAAAGAAGAAAGGTGACAAGCAAGAAACAACCAAAATTGTAACGATTGAACAAGAAGGCAAAAAGCCAGAAACCACAATAACAGTTGAAGAAGAGCAAGTACCTGAACAGCCTGAATACATTGTAGAAGAATTACCTGAGCAGATCGAAGAAACAACAGTTGTCGAAGATGGTATTCCCATAAAGAAAGTAACAAAGAAACGCGTTATTAAAAAGAAGAAAGGTGTCAAGCAAGAAACTACAGAAATAGTCACCGTTGAGCAAGAAGGCAAAAAACCGGAAACCACAATAACCGTTAACGAAGAACAAGTGCCTGACCAGCCTGAATATGTTGTAGAAGAACTGCCTGAACAAATCGAAGAAACAACAGTTGTAGAAGAAGGTGTTCCTAGACAGAAAGTTGTCAGGAAACGAGTCATTAAAAAGAAGAAAGGCGACAAACAAGAAACGACCGAAATTGTCACCGTTGAACAAGAGGGCAAGAAACCGCAAATGACAATATCCGTAGAAGAAAAGGAGATTCCTCACGAACAAGAATATTTAATTGAAGAGTTACCTGAGCAAATCGAAGAAACAACAGTTGTAGAAGAAGGTGTTCCTAGACAGAAAGTCGTCAGGAAACGAGTCATTAAAAAGAAGAGGGGCGGCAAGCAAGAAACAACCAAAATAATAACCGTTGAACAAGAAGGCAAAAAGCCAGAAACCACAATAACAGTTGAAGAAGAGCAAGTACCTGAACAACCTAAATATATTGTAGAAGAATTACCTGAGCAGATCGAAGAAACAACGGTTGTGGAAGATGGTATTGCCAGAAAGAAAGTCACAAAGAAACGCGTTATTAAAAAGAAGAAAGGTGACAAGCAAGAAACCACAGAAATAGTCACCGTTGAGCAAGAAGGCAAAAAACCGGAAACCACAATAACCGTTGACGAAGAACAAGTGCCTAAACAGCCTGAATACGTTGTAGAAGAATTTCCTGAACAAATCGAAGAAACAACAGTTGTAGAAGAAGGTATTCCGAGAAGGAAAGTGGTGAAGAAACGAGTGATTAAAAAGAAGAAAGGTGACAAGCAAGAAACAACCAAAATAATAACGGTGGAACAAGAAGGCAAAAGGCCAGAAACCACAATAACAGTTGAAGAAGAGCAAGTACCTGAACAGCCTAAATATATTGTAGAAGAATTACCTGAGCAGATCGAAGAAACAACAGTTGTCGAAGATGGTATTCCCAGAAAGAAAGTAACAAAGAAACGCGTTATTAAAAAGAAGAAAGGTGTCAAGCAAGAAACCACAGAAATAGTCACCGTTGAACAGGAAGGCAAAAAACCGGAAACCACAATAACCGTTAACGAAGAACAAGTGCCTGACCAGCCTGAATATGTTGTAGAAGAACTACCTGAACAAATCGAAGAAACAACAGTTGTAGAAGAAGGTGTTCCTAGACAGAAAGTCGTCAGGAAACGAGTCATTAAAAAGAAGAAAGGCGACAAACAAGAAACGACCGAAATTGTCACCGTTGAACAAGAGGGTAAGAAACCGCAAACGACAATATCCGTAGAAGAAAAGGAAATTCCTCACGAACCAGAATATTTAATTGAAGAGTTACCTGAGCAAATCGAAGAAACAACAATTGTGGAAGAAGGTATTCCGCGAAGGAAAGTGGTGAAGAAACGAGTGATTAAAAAGAAGAAAGGTGACAAGCAAGAAACAACCAAAATAATAACGGTGGAACAAGAAGGCAAAAAGCCGGAAACCACAATAACAGTTGAAGAAGAGCAAGTGCCTGAACAGCCTGAGTTTATTATAGAAGAATTACCTGAGCAGATTGAAGAAACAACGGTTGTCGAGGAAGGTATTCCCAGAAAGAAAGTAACAAAGAAACGCGTTATTAAAAAGAAGAAAGGTGATAAGCAAGAAACCACAGAAATAGTAACCGTTGAACAAGAAGGCAAAAAGCCAGAAACCACAATAACGGTTGAAGAAGAGCAAGTCCCTGAACAGCCTGAATATGTTGTCGAAGAATTACCTGAACAAATCGAAGAAACAATAGTTGTCGAAGAGGGAATTCCGAGAAGGAAAGTGGTGAAGAAACGGGTGATTAAAAAGAAGAAAGGTGACAAGCAAGAAACAACAAAAATAGTAACCGTTGAACAAGAAGGAAAAAGGCCAGAAACAACAGTAACGGTGGAAGAAGAGCAAATGCCTAAACAACCTGAATATATTGTAGAAGAATTACCTGAGCAAATCGAACAAACAACAGTTGTCGAAGAAGGTATTCCTAGAAATAGAGTGGTAAAAAAGCGAGTAATTAAAAGGAAGAAAGGAAACAAGCAAGAAAAGACCGAAATAATTACGGTTGAACAGGAAGGTAAAGAGCCTAAAACAACAGTGACTGTTGAAGAAGTAGAGGAAGACGAGTCACGTTATGTAGCAGAGGAAATACCGGAGAAGGTGCCAACCAAAGCTGTTGAAATTGATCAACCGAAAAAGAAGGTCCGGAAATCAAAGAAACCAATTTCGGAAGATGCATACTTATTCGTGCCTCTGTTAGAGCAACAAAAAGACTTACCCACAACGCCAGAAATATTTGAGCTGCTTAAAATGGAAGTTATACGAATTTTGTTAGCTCATCCACTTCCTCAGTTCCCCGAGTTAACAGATATGCCCACAGGATACCGAGTTTTAGTCGAATATCCGGAAGAAAAGGAGGAAATCGATTTAGGAGACGGAAGAAAAGGTACGATTAGAAAGAGGAAAATTAAAAAACGAATTGGAGACACAGATGAAGTTATCACAATTAGTATTAAAGAAAAGCCAGGCGAAGAACCGACTATTAAAGGTAACATTCAAGAAGAAAACGCATCCGAAATTGAAGATATGAGCGAAATGGTTCCAGTAATTGAAATTCCTGAAGAAACAGAAGTTGTTGATATGACTACATCTGATGATATTCCTAAAAAGAAAATCACAAAGAAAAGAAAACTGCTTAAGAAAATTGGTCCAAAAATTGAAGAAACTGAAGTTATTAGTGTGTTCGAAGACGGAAAACGTCCAAAAACCACAGTGAAAATTAAGGAGTACGACATCGACGCAACTCCGAAAGAAATTACTCTCGTTAAACATAAATTAGAACTCATCGACATCAAACCAAAGCAACCAGTCATTGTGGAAAAGGATGATATTCCCAAACTCACTGAACTAAAACTGAGAAAGCCCAAGCGACCACAAAAAGCTGCTGAAGAAAAGAAGCAACCAATGTTCCGACTGAAAAGCAGAATCAAACTAATAATTTTTCCTCCCCTAAGTGAAGTTGAGCAACATGGAATAATCACAAATCTTCCTGCATACATCAGGGACCATGGCGAACTGTCAAGGAATATATCTGATGCACAAAAGGTGTTGAAAAAGAAGAAAATACGGAAGTTTAAGGACATAGACTACATGCCGCCAGAGCTGGAAGAAGTTGAGCACGTTGATATGCCTGCAAAGCCTGAAACCACTGATGCCAAAGATTCTCCCAAACATAAAAGGCTTCCAAAGGAAAGGCAACAGCCGGACGAAAAAACTGCCATACTTGAGCTAGGCAAAGGGCAGATACCTGAAGATGTGGAACTGCCAGAAAAAGTTCTGTTAAAGAAAATACCTGAAACAGCATCTGACAAAGAACCACTTGAGGTGAAAGAAGCAAAAACTAAAAAACCTGACGAGTCAAAAATTAAAAACCGTAGCGAGGAACATGATGAAGAACCCATTGCGTTTGAACCGTACGACATTGATAAAACAGATTTTGAAATGGAAGATTTTGAAACGAGCGACAAGGATGACGTACAAAAAATTAAGAAAAAGGTTCCAACAAAATACAAGAAGAAGCCCAAAGCAAAGTCGAGCCCAGATGTAGATGAATTACAGTTAATTATGGGCGTTCCTAAAGAAAAGCCAGATATTGAATCGGAAGATGTTTCTTTCCAACCCAAACAGAAACCTAAAAGAGAGGAAGAACCTGAAAAAATTAAGTTGAAACCTTTTAAGGTGCCTAAATATGAAGGTCCTGCAGAAAAAGTACGCCTTGAAGGCCCCGAGTATCAAAAACCAATAGTAGTTTACGAACTTCCAGAAGTAATTACAACCGTCGATGAAAAAACTCCCGAAGGTATTAAGAAGACGATCAAAAAACGACGCACAATTAAAAAGAGATTAGGCCCAACTCAAGAGGTTACAAATATTGAAACTTTAATACCTGAACAGGGCAAATCTGAGACTATTGTAACAACTGAAATTGAATACATCACTGATGAGTTCGTTGTGCCGTATGACGCCGCTGAGGTCATTGAATTACCAACGGAAGAAAAAATTATTAAAACTAAAGTAAATGACAAAGTGATTACTAAGAAGTTTACTAAACGAAAACTAAAAAAACCCATAGGAAAATCACAGTCTGAAATTACCGAAATTCTAACCGTTGATGAAGATGAAAAGAAACCGCAAGTACTAGTAGTGATATACACAGTAGAAGAAGATTTGCTGCCGGATCAAGAAGAAGCTGATGAGCTTTTACCATTGTTGAAAGTGCGGCCTAAAAAAGGAAAGCCTTTAGTGGTAGAATTACCAGAAGAAGTTGTTGTTGAAGAAGTGAAAGTCGATAAAGACACTACCAAGACAGTTATTAAAAACAAAAAGCAGTACAAGAAACTGCATAAACCCAAAGAAGAGATAATTACTCTTCAAACACGAGAAATTGATGGCGACTCTCAAACCGACGTGACGATAGAAGAACTGATTCCCGATGACATATCGGATATTCTAAAAGGTGAAGTATTAGAAGAATTTCCTTCAACTACAGAAATCACCGAAGATCTATCGGGACCAACCCCGATAGTGACTAAAGTTACTAAAAGGAAAACACAAAAACGAGTCGGTGAGAAAGCACAAGTCACTGAGATAGTAGTTACAGAAAAAGGGAATGAAACTCCAATTACAGAAGTCAATGTATATCTAACAGATGAAGTACCACGTGTAACTGAAGAAAGCGTTGATACCATTACCATAGAAGTGCCTGAAGAAATTACCACTAAAGTAATTCAAACACCTACAGGGCCAAAGATCGAAACTACCAAAACGAGGATTCTTAAAAAACTGAAAAGTCCTAAACAGGAAACGTTAATAGTTGAAACCGTTTACGAAGAAGATAAAATTCCAGAAACCACCGTGACGGCGGATGAAGCCAAAGATTTATCAGCTCTTCCAGAAAGTACCCAAGTATTGGAAATGCCCGAGAAAATAACGATTGACAAAACATCTAAAAAAACTATGAAACGAATTATTCACAAGAAAAAGGGAGATAAAATCGAGACCACTAAGATATGCACGGTGGAAGAAGACGACAGAAAACCTCAAACTACTGTTACAACATTCACGTCTGAAATTTCCGAACTTCCGCCCGACGAAACACTTAAACTTCTCGAAGTTTTGACACCAAAAAAACTGAAGAAAAAACCAATTACCCCACATTTCGAATTAGAAACCACAGACGTACACACCATTGAACATACTCAGGAATTAGGTGAGCAAAACACTTCTGATTTACTACTTTTTGAACACTTTTATACACAATTCTGATTAGATAAATGTTAGTTTACAACTGGGATTTTAAAACAATGAAGTCCATTACACACACCTCAACATTATTTAATTTCTAATAATAATAAATTATCGTATATTTTAGGTGAAGTAAGTGAAGATCTGCCCAAAGTCATAGGTACGGTGATCCAAGATGTAAGAGAATCAGTCACTATCGAAACCGTAATGTCTCAAAAACCAGTAGAAGATGTTCCTTTAATCGAAGAACTACCAGAGGAAATCGAAGTAATAGAGGCAGTAGCAGCAGATGGCAAAAAGAAGAAGAAAATAATTAAGAAAAGAACTATAAGAAAACGTATTGGGGACACTCGAGAAGATACGCATATTGTCACTATCGAGGAAGAAGGAAAACTACCTCAATCCACCGTAACTATAGAAGAAATTGAAGTACCAGATACAAAAACTGATGAATTTTTGACACCAAGTGTTGAAGAGGTTCCTTACATTGAAGAACTACCAGAAGAAATAATTGAGACGGAAGTAGACAGTTTGGAAGGACCCAAGAAGAAAACATTCAAAAAACGAACACTGAAAAAACGTCGAGGAAGCAAAGTAGAAACGACGGAAATATTCACAGTTCAAGAAGAAGGCAAAGAACCGCAGACGTCTGTTACAATTCAAGATGTCACTGAAGAAGAAAGCAAGCTTACCGACGTCCTCCCCGAAAAACAGGAAAAAGCTGTATTAATTGAAGAATTGCCAGAAGAAATTAACATAGATGAGGTACAAAGCAGGTGGGGTCCCAAAAAACGAACCACTAAAAAGAGGATAATCAGAAAACGGGTCGGCGATAAACAGGAAGAAACTCAAATCGTCACGGTCGAAGAGGAAGGCAAAGAACCATTGACAACGGTTACAATTGACGAAATCGATTTACCTTCAGATAAGGTACGCCCATTGCAAATATTAAAACCGGGTGAGGATGTTGCGATAGAAGAAATTCCAGAGCAGGTCATTATTACCACCGTTGATACATTAGAAGGGCCTAAGAAGAAAGTTATCAAGAAGAAAGTGTTCAAGAAAAAGGTCGGGGATAAGGAACAAGCTACGGAAATACTAACCGTGGAAGAGGAAGGAAAACCGCCTGAAGTATCAGTTGTAGTTAAAGAAACGGTCGAAGAAGAGAAGAAAGTAAAAAAATTGAAAAAACCTAAAAAAGCCACAAGCGAACAAGTTCAAGTCACCGAAGAGGGATATTTATTTGTACCAAGTTTAGCCCAAGAAAAAATTAAAGCTGAAGGAGTGGAAGACATGATTCAAATGGAATTGTTAAAAACAGCACTGTCAAAACAAATTCCATCATTCTTACCCGGAGAGGATGAAGATGAAGTTGTAGAAGAAACGGTAAGCAAAAGAAAAATCAAGAAAATTATTAAAAAGAAAAAACCAAAGATTGAAGATCTCGATATTGAATCGCCACTTATCGCAGAAGAACTGCCGGAAGAAATACAGGTAGTTGAGACAGTAAACAAAGAAGGTATAGCGGAGAAAAAAATAATTAGAAAACGAGTCATAAAGAAACATAAAGGTGATATAGATGAAATCACAACAATCAGTACGGTCGAAGAGGAAAATAAAGTGCCCCAAAGCACCATCACAATTGAAGAAGTAGAAGCAGAGACAGAAAAACCAAGTGAAATTGATTTTGATCAGGTAGTGATTGTGGAAGAGATACCTGAAATGATTGAATTAGTGAAAGGTCCACTAGAGGAATCTAGAAAAAGAATTATCAAAAAGAGGGTAATCAAGAAACGGCGAGGAAGTAAACAAGAAAATACGGAACTAATTGTCGTTGAGGAAGGTGACCAAATGCCTCAATCTACAGTAACAATTGAAGAAATCGAATTTCCAGAAGAAATCGTGAAAAAACTTCCCGATTCAGAAGAGCAATATGTAATCAGTCAAGACCTGCCTGAACAGGTTCAATTATTTGAGAATGAGCAGCAAAAGAAAACGGTTACGAAAAACGTCACAAAAACGCGCAAAGGAAGCAAACAAGAAACAAAGCAGGTATTCACAATTGAGGAAGAAGGTACTAAACCAATTACATCTACTATTATTGAAAAAGTTGACTTACCTGAGGAATTTTTGGAGAAACTGACAATTCCCTCTATGGAAAAAGCAAAACCGGTGTTTGCTGAAGATCTCGATACTGCTGACATTGTGGAAGTTTCTACCAAAGAACTGCAAAAGAAAAAGGTCATTAAAAAGAAGATTGTTAAAAAGGAATCAACAGACCAAAGAATTACTGAAGAAAGCCAAAAACCAATTATTGCGGAAGAACTACCGGAAGAAATTCATATCATACACGAAGAAGGAGGTCCGGATAAAATTGTCAAAAAAAGAGTGATCCGCACAAGAAAAGGCAATAAACATGAAATAACCCAAATTTTCACTGTAGAAGAAGAAGGCAAATCACCTATAACATCGGTTGTCATCGAAGAAATCGAATATCCAGATGAGATTCTCGATAAAATACCCGAAATCCAACCTGAAAAGTCGGTGATTATTGAAGAAATTCCCGATCAAATTGAAGTAAGAGTCGTTGAAACTAGCGAAGGTCCACAAGAATTCATTACCAGAAAGCGAGTTATTAAAAGAAGAAAAGGAAGCAAACAAGAAACAACTGAAGTCGTGGTTGTTGAGGAAAATGGCAAACCGTTGCAGTCATCGGTCGTGATTGAAGAAATCGATATACCGGAAGATATTCTAGATGCGCTGCCTGAACATACAGAGCAACTGGAGCCAGTCATCATTGAGGAATTGCCAGAGGAGGTGCAGGTTATAGATGCAAAGAAAACTATTAAAAAGAAAGTAACTAAACGACGCAAAGGAAGCAAACAAGAAATTACTGAACACCTGACCGTACTAGAGCAAGGCAAGAAACCCCAAACATCTGTGGTCATTGAGGAAATTGAAATACCGGATGACGTGCTAGAAGAATTAAAAGCACCTACAACAATAACTAAAAAACCAATTTTTGTAGAAGATGTTACCGATCAGATAATTGTTCAAGAAACCCAAACTGAAGAAGCACCTAAAAGAAAAGTAATCAAAAAGAAAATTGTGAAAAAACCGGAAGAGCTTCCACAAGATGTAGTCTTGGCGCGAGAACTGCCTGAAGAAATCACCGTACTAGACGAAGGAAGAAAAATAGTTAAAAAGAGGGTAATTAAAACAAAGAAGGGCGACAAGCGAGAAATCACTAGTATCCTTACAGTGGAAGAAGAAGGTAAGGAGCCCCAGACATCTGTATTAATTGAAGAATTATCAAAGGAAGACATACAAGACATACCTGAGGAGTATGTGACTATCGAAGTAACTCCAGAAGAAACTCATGTTATAGAAGAGGACACCCCTGAAGGCAAAAGAAAAGTTACTCTTAGGAAGAAAGTTATCAAGAAAAGGAAAGGAGACAAACAAGAATCCACTGAGATTGTTGTTAGGGAAGAAGAAGGCAAACTTCCTGAAACAAGTGTTGTAATTGAAGAAGAGACCAGTCCAGACGAATTTGTCGCTGAATTAGAACCTATAATAATTGAAGAAATGCCAGAACAAGTTCAGGTACAAGATACCAAAATAGTTAAACGGAAAATAACTAAGAAACGAAAGGGTAGTAAACAAGAATCTACTTTGACGGTAACTGTTGAAGAGCAAGGCCAGGAGCCTCAAACAACTGTTGAAATCTACGAAATTGAAATACCGGATGAAGTCACGGAGAAATTTACATTACCCTCAGTCGATTCCAAGAAGCCCTATTTCATAGAAGACATTCCGGAAGAAACAGTTGAAATAACCGAAACTCAAGTACAAGAAGGTCCGAAGAAAAAAGTAATTAAGAAAAAAATAACCAAGAAAGACATACCTAAAGTTCGACCAGAATCTCCAGAACTCATTCCTGACAACGAAACGATCCTTATCACGGAACTTCCAGAAGAAATTAAAATTGTAACAGATGAAAGTGGGCCAACAAAAATTACGAAAAAACGTACTATTAAAAAACAAAAAGATGGCAAACAGGAAATCACTCACATTATTACTGAAGAAGAAGTGGGAAAGAAACCTCAAACTACAGTTACAGTTGAAGTTATTGAAGCTCCTGAAGAAATACCTAAGGAATATCCTGCATACATCGAAGAACTGCCTGAGCAAATCGAAGTTGAAGAAACCAAGAGTAGGTGGGGTCCAAAGAAGAAAACTACAAAGACACGAACAATAAGGAAAGTTAAAGGTGACCTACAGGAAGATACGCATATAGTCACAATTGAGGAAGAAGGAAAAGAACCACAGACATCAATTATTATTGAAGAAAAAACTATTCCGCTTGATCTGGCAATGCCCAAGTTTGAAAAACCAGAAGAAGCCATTATCGAATTACCTGAAGAGATCAAAGTCATCGAAACTATAACTCCTGAAGGTGTGAAACAAGAAAAGATTAAAAGGCGTGTTATCAGAAAGAAAAAGGGGCAAAAAGAAGAACAAACTGAAATCATTACTATTGAGGAAGAGGGCAAAAAACCTAAAACCACTATATCTGTAACAGAAGAGGAGATTCCTATCGATACGGTAAAAGAATTGGTAGGACCTACTCCAATGGAAGCTTCAATGACTTATATCCACGAACTGCCGGAAGAAATTGAAGAACAAGAAATAATCGATGACAAAGGAAAACCAACTAAAAAAATTACTCGAAAACGAGTAATAAAAAAACCTAAAGGCGATAAGCAAGAAATTACCGAAATAACTGTAACTGAAGAAGAAGGTAAACCAACACAGACAACTGTGACTGTTGAAGACGTTCCTTTAATTGAAGAAAAAGTACCAAGAAAGAAAATAAGTAAAAAGAAGGAAATCGATAAACCCAAAAAACTACGAAGAGAAGTATCAGTATTACTCCCTCTTGTAATTAAAGAAGTGAAGTTCGAAAAAGTCAAAATTGTTGATGCAAAGGATGTGCCACTTTTCGGCGAAGTCAAGCTAAGGAAACCAAAGAAGATTTCGCAAAAGAAAGATACAACAACTAAAGTTCAAATTCCAAGGCTGAAAAGTAGAATAAATCATATAACGTTCCCACCCTTAACAGAAATAGAACAACTACCTCGAATTTCTATTTTAGAACCCATATACCGGGACAATGGAATCTTATCTCGTAACGTCAAGGAAGCCGAAAAATTACCGAAGACGAAGCGACGTCGGTTAAGGGACAAGGATGTTATTGGGAAAAGTTTGGAAAAACTAGACCTGGAACTGGAAGATCTTAAAAAGAAAGAGCTTGAAAAACTTGATGATGAATATAAATTCGAAAAGAAACCACGCAAAAAACCGGCAAGCAAGGAAGAACTGCAACCCATTAAACTTGGCAAGGGCTCCGTTGAACAACCGTCTGAAGATGATGAAACTGTCAAATTAAAGAAGGTTCCACTGAAACCCCAGGATATTGAAGAACAAACTGAATTGAAACCTGTGAAGAAACCTGACACAATAAAAAAGAAAGACAAAAAGCGGCCAGAAAAGGACTCAGAAAAAATTGTTTTTGAACCCTATGACGTGGACTACGAACAACCCGAACTAGATAAATATGAACCTACAAAACCTAAAGAAGAAGAAGAAGACAAAACAGTACCCAAAAAAGTTAAAGCCGTTCGAAAAAATAAAGATAAACAAGCACCTGAAACGGAACCAGCTATTATTGAACCGGGAGTTCCCAAAACAATTGAAGGGGAAGAACAACCCGAAGTAACACTGAAGTATGCTAGAAAGCCAAAACCAGAAGAAGAATCTGAAGAAATTAGGCTAAAGCCACATAGAAAACTAGATGATGATGAGGAGTTGAAAGTGGAAATCGACCAGGTGATGAAACATGATGCTATAATTACTTTCGAAGGCCCAGATATTGAACAAGACATTAAATTTGATGATGATACTGAAAAGCCTCAATCAAGAAAGGTAGTAAAGAAAATAAAGAAAAAGGTTCAGAAAGGGCAATCAGATTTGGAAGAAATAATACCTCAAGATGCCGAAGTTTTAACTGTGGAAGAAGAAGTTGTCGAGGACATTCCCCAGCTCCAACAACCATTAGAACTGAACGAAATAGAAATTCCAGAAATAATTCCATCCGAAGAAGATAAATCTGCCATAAAAAAGAAAAAGAAAACAGTAATAAAAAGACGGCCTCGAAAAGAAGGTTCGGAAGAGATAGCAGAACAGTCCGAAGAATTTCCAGTTTCAGAAGAAGAGGAACTGCAAGTTGAAGAAAAAGAAGTTAAAATAATTAAAAAGAAGATTCCTAAGACTAAACCTGAAGAAACACCAAGTCAAGCACCTGAAGAAAAGCTAGAAAAACCCAAAGATATTGAAGACCAGAAACCAGTTGAAACTCCGGAAAAGAAGAAACCCAAAAGAGTAATTCCGAAGAAAGAAGAAGTGAAAGAAAAAATTCCACGACTAAAAAGTAGAATCGTACATGTACCATTTCCACCTGAAAACGAATCAGAGCGAATTCCGGAAATAACTCAGCTCCCACCAGTATATCGAGACAACGGTATTCTTTCGCGCAGTATAAAAGAAGCCGAAAAGCTTCCTAAAAAGAAAAAGATCAGGATTAAGGATTACGAAAGAGATTTGAAGGACTTGGAAAAGCTTGATTTAGAAGTTGAAGATTTAAAAAAGAGAGAGTTGGAGTCACTCGATAAAGATTTATTCGCAAAACCTAAAAAGACTAAAAAATCCGAAAAACCTGCTGCGCCGAAAAAACTTGAAATTGGAAAAGGTGAGATACCAGACAAAAATAAACCTGATGAAGAAATCGTTCTTAAGAAAGTCCCTGATAAGTTAATAAAAGAAGATGAAGAAGATGTAAAAAAGCCAAAATCAAAGGAGAAAAAAGACAGACTTGTAGCTCCTAAAAAAGACGAAAGAAATGTAGAGGGCACCCCATTTGAACCTTACGATATTGAAAGAGAGTCCCCGGATAAAGAAGTTCTTGAATTGCCTGAACATGAGGAAGAAGAGGATATTCCCAAGAGTAAAGAAACCGTTAAACTACCCAAACGGAAGAAGGTTAAACCTACCCCCGAAAGCATTGAACAGGAATTAAAACCAGGCATTCCGAAGCCAAAAGAAGTAGAAGAAGCGCCTGAAATTACTCTAAAGAAAAAGCAAAAACCAAAGCCTGTAGAGGGAGACCATGAAGTAAAATTGAAACCTCATAAAAAAGAAGACGATGAAACTCTTTTGACTGTCACTGGAGAAACAGTAATGAAACATGATAGTATTATCACCTTCGAAGGACCAGATATTGACATGGCAATAGCTCCAGATGAAACGGAAGATAAAGCTAAAGGGAAGAAAAAGATTATTAAAAAAATTAAGAAGTTGAAAGACAAACAACTAACGGCAGGTGAAGAAGAAGTGGTGTTAGATCAGCCTGAAGAAATGTCGGAAGAAATTCCAATGGAAGAAATTTCTATTCCGGAAGAAGCAGAAATCGAATCTGAAAACGAAATACCTGATGAGCAAGAACTTCCCGAGGAAGAAAAGCAAGCAGTCAAAACAAAGAAAATTGTTAAAAAGCGGCCAAAGCATAAAGAAGAAATAGAAGAAACAGCCGAAAAACCAGAAGAAGTAGAATTACCCTTGGATGATACTGAAAAGCCATCGAAAATTTTGAAAAAGAAAGCAAAAATAGAAAAGCCGGAAGAGGCAAAAGAACATGAAGCAAAACCAGACAAACCGGTAGAAGATACACCATCGGAAATCGTTGAGAAGAAAAAACCAAAACGGGTTATTCCAAAGAAAGAAGAAGCAAAAGACAAAATACCAAGGCTCAAGAGCAGAATTGTACATGTACCTTTCCCACCACAAAGCGAGTCAGAGCGGGTTCCAAATATTACAGACCTTCCTCCTGTGTACCGTGACAATGGTGTTTTATCACGCAATATTGAAGAAGCTAAAAAGTTACCTAAAAAGAAAAAGATCAAAATTAAAGATTATGAAAGAGATTTAAAAGACCTAGAAAAACTAGATTTAGAGTTTGAAGATTTGAAAAAGAAGGAGCTGGAAGTACCAGATGACATGACATTGCCGAAATCAATTAAAAAGAAGCCTGAACAAGAAGAAATTGTCTCTGTTGATATCAAAATAGGCAAGGGAAAATTACCACCAAGCGAGGAAGTACCAGAAGAAGTTACCCTTAAAAAGAGACCGGTAAAAACACCCAAAGAAAAACCAGAAGAAAAAGCCAAAGTTAAAAAGGCAGATATAGAAAAAATTAAACCTAAAGAAAATCAGCAGGAAAAAGAGGTCGACAGACCAGAATTTGAACCTTTCGATATTCCTCGTGAAGATATTGATTTGGACAAATATGAAGCTCCCGAGTATCCCGAAGAAGATAAAGAGAAACCAGACAAAGATAAGCCCAAGTACAAGAAAAAGAAAAAGGAAACTCCATTACCTGAATTAGAAGAAAGTGCTTTGATACCGGGTGTACCAAAGAAAGACCTAAAAGAAGAGGAAGAAAATCTTGTATTGAAAGCTCCAAGAAAGCCTAAGCCGGAGGAAGGTCCAGAGCCACTAAAACTTAAGCCTCATAAAAAAGATAAAGACGATGAAGTATTTAAAATAGTAATTGACAGTGTAATGAAGCATGACACCATCGTTACATCTGAAGGTCCAGACTTGGACATCGAAATTTCACCTGACAATGAAGAGGATAAAGAAAGGGGTAAGCGAAAGAAAGTAATTAAAAAGATCAAGCGTAAAGAATCCACACCTAAAACTATAGAGGATATTCAAGAGGACAAACCTTCTATAACAGAATTGTTAGATGAATATATTCCTAAAGAAGAAATGGCGACAGAAGAAACTACGGAAGAAATAGTTTTACCTATACCGGAAGAGCCAGTTGTACTAGATGAAAATATACCAGACGCAACTAAAATTAAAAAGAAAACACTTAAGAAAAAGGTTAAGGAACAACCAGATAAAGAAGTCCCGACAGAAACACCTGAAGTGGTGGAAATTGAGGAAGAAGAGGAAAATGAGGATACTGAAACTGTTGTCAAGAAAGTCAAGAAAAAAGTTCCCAAAATTATTATAAAGCCAGATGAGGAAGAATTTGTAATTCAACGTCCTGATAGTGAAGTTCCGGAGGAAGAAATCCCTGAAGTTACAGCAACTGTAGCACAAAAACCAGGAGAAGACGAAAAGAAAATCAAAGAACCCAAAAAACAATCTGAAGAATTGCCGGAAATAAAGACCAAGAAACCCAGAAGGCCTATACCAAAACCAGAAGAGACGAAGGATAAAATCCCGAGATTAAAGAGCCGAATCACACATGTTCCATTCCCACCTGATAGTGAAACTGAAAGAATTCCAAAGATTGCAGAATTAGAGCCAGTTGTAAGGGATAATGGCATAATATCAAGAAATATCGAGGAAGCTCAAAAGATCAAAAAACCAAAACGTCGAAAGCTGAAAGATGTGGGTAAAGAGATGACTAGCTTGGAAAAATTAGATCTGGAATTTGAAGACCAGAAGAAAGAATTAGAAACGGTTGATGACGCATTTAAATACCAAAAGAAACCCAAAGATAAGCCCGAGAAACCCGAAGATAAAAAAGAAATTAAATTAGGGAAAGGAAAAATTCCTGAGAAACCCGACGTGGACGACAAAGTGAAATTAAAAACTATTCCCCAAAAACCCGATCAACCGGAGGAAGCAAGCCCTGAAGTTGCAGCACAAAAGAAATCAGAGCCTAACAAAATAAGTAGAAAGAAAGATAAACCTGACGAGTCATTAGCGCCTCTGGAACCTTTGGACTTTGAGACAGATGAACCGGAAAGTTTGGAATTTGAGAAACCCGAACTTCCAAAAGATGAGCAAGAACAACCTGAGGAAGTAAAATTAACATACAAAAAGAAAAAGAAAACTAAGCCCGAACAGGAAATTGAGGAAACCGTTTTAAAAATTAGCCCTTCAGTTAAACGAGATGATGAAGTCCCCGAAGAAACCACCAAGCAGTACAAAATTAAACCCAAGCCTGAGGAAGGCACTGAAGATGTAAAACTGAAGCCTTTTTTGAAAGCCGAGGAGCAAGACGAGCAATTAAGTAAACCTGAGGATAAGAAATCACCAGTAACACCCGTTACTGTCGAAGATAAGAAGAAAAAGAAAGTTCCCAAAAGACAGGAAGAAAAGAAGCAAGAAGCGTTTGGGTTACGACTCAAGAGCAGAATAGTTTACGTAGACTTTCCTCCACTTTCCGAAACGCAACAAATTCCAGTAATTACACCGCTAGAGCCAGTTGTTAAAGATAACGGGATTATATCCAGAAACATTCAAGAAGCTGCTGCAATAAAACCCAAAAAGAAGAAGGCAGTGCCCAAAGCAAAACTTGATGACCTTGATAAATTAGATCAAGAACTTGAAGAGCTTAAAAAGGGACGTGAACATGTCGACGATGAATTCCGAAAACGGCCTAAAAAACCGAAGAAGGAAAAGCCAATTCTATTGCCTATTATTCGGGTTGAAGTAAAGCCCCAAAAAGCAAAATTAATAGATCTAACTCCTGAAGTTGTAAATTTGGCTGAAATTAAACTAAAGAAAGTTCCGAAAAAACCTGATGCTCCTGAACCAACGGAGTTGCGAATGCCTAAGTTAAAACTGAAAAGCCGCATCAATTGGGTTGATTTTCCACCTATTGACGAAGTACTGCAAGTCCTTCAAATTACGTTCATCGGATCTGTCAGAGACAATGGAATTATCTCCCGAAGTATCGAGGAAGCTGAAAAGCTGAAAAAGAAGAGGCCAAAGAAATTCAAAGATATTCGAGAGGAAAAGCCCGAGCTTGAAAAACTCGACTTAGAGATGGAAGAGCTCAAGAAGAAAAAGCCGGAACAAGTTGACGAAGCTTATAAATATGAAAGAAAACCGAAGGAAACACCAACAGCGCAAGAAGAAGTAGCCGAACCTCTGCAAATTATAAAACGGAAAAAGCAACCTCCGCAAGAAGAAGAAGATAACACTGTGGTATTGAAAAAACGCCCGGTAAAGAAAGAAGAAGAAATTCCGGAAGCAACTGTCACAATTAAACCTGTAATAAAAGATGAAGCTGAAGTTACGGGAAAAGAACCCCGAGAAGGAGTGGAAGGACCTCCATTCGAACCATTTGAGTTCAAACATGAGGATACCGAACGCGACACCTATGAACCACCAGAATACGAAGAACCGCAAAAGAAAAAGGTAATTAAGAAAAAACCGAAAGCGAAAGCCGAAAAACCAGAAGGGCCCACACCAGAAGCAATAGAGACTATTTTAGAAAAAGGCATTCCAAAACCAGTTGACCAGGAAACGGAAAATGAAGTGGTATTAAAAACACCTAGAAAACCAAAGCCCGAAGAACAACCAGAGGAGTTTAAGCTTAAGCCTATTAAGAAACCCGAAGAAGATGAAGATCTTGAAACGGTAACGTTTACGAAACCAGCAGCACCCAAAGAGGCCAAAGAAATTCTTCCACGGCCAGATGATGAGCTGGACTTTGTTCCTACTATAGACGATGATATTAAGAAGAAAAAGAAAAAGACTAAACCTAAGAAGGAAGTTCTAGATGCAGAGCCCGTATCTGAAATTAAGGAAACTGTACCCGATGAACGACCTCAGGACGTGGCGGATATTGAAGTAACTCTTAAATCAAAACCGAAAGTAATACCAGAACAAAAGGAAGAAGAACCTGACACCGTTAAAGTTATATTAAAGAAACCGGAACCAACACCGGAAGATGAAGTTGAAGCTGAAACAGTGTTTGTAAAGAAACCTAGCAAACCTGAAGACGCCGGTGAGGCAGAGATTCAAATTACAATTAAACCTGAAGATAAAATTGAAGAAATAATTGAAGAAAAAGTTGTCATTAAAAAGAAAAAAGGAAAAATTCCCAAACCAAAAGATGAAGAAGTTGAAATTAAAATAGAAAAGGCAGAACCTATTCCAGACGAAAAACCGGAAACTTTTACATCTGAGGAAAAGCCTCAGGAAATTCCGGTGCAAACTGAAAACGATGGCGTTACAATAGAAGAACTAAAACCTGAAGACGTGCCTGAAGAACCACAAACAACTTCTTATGTGCCATCGGAAGTGCCTATTATTGAAGAACCAAGAGAAGAAGAAGAGATTGTACAGAAACCGCCAGTTGAGGAACAAATTGAAGAAATTAAAGAAGAAATTGTCATAAAGAAAAAATCAAAGAAACCTAAAGACAAAAGTCCTAGCGAAATTGAGCCCGAAATTAAAGAACCCCAACAGACTGAAGTTGAAATTGCAACTATCACACTCAAGAAAAAGCCCATTCTAGAGGTACTTGAGGAAGAAATAGACGCTGAAATCATTATACCAAAGCCCATCGAAAAGGAAACTGAAGAGGTTAAACAAGAAGTAGTAATTAAAGTACCCGAACAGCCGAAGACATCCGAAGAACCCCTTGATACTTCAGCAGAATTTACGGTAGTCCAAGAAGCTCCCGATCAAGCACCAACCGAAGAGACAGAAACTAAAGTTGTTGTTGATAAGAAGAAGAAACCAAAAACTCGGAAACCCGATCAACCTGATGAGGTTGAAGCTAAGGTGACACTCGAGAAGCCAACCAAAGATGTAACGGAAGAATCTATTAAGCTACCTGTATCAAAAGACATACCAACTGAAGAAGCAGAAGACGAGGTGTCGATTAAAAAGCATATTCCTGTTGAAGATAGAGATGTCGAAAGTCCGAAAGAAGAAGTAACTATATCCCTAAAGAAACGTAAGAAGCCTGCCCAGCAGCCTGAAAGTGAGCAATCCGAAGCCGAAATTACTATAAAGAAAACTACTAAACCTGATGAACAAACTTTGACTAGTCCAGCTGAAGAAGAAGTGAAATTTACAATTCCAAAAGCACCGAAAATATCGGAGGAAAGTGCTGATGCAGAAGTATCCTTGAAGCAGTATATTCCTGACGAACCTCTTGAGGAAGAATCCGAAGAGCACAAGGATGAACCAAAACCGACGCAAACTGAAGTAACTGAATCTGAAGTCACTATTAAGAAGCGTGCTCCCAAAAAGAAAAAGGAGCTGCCCACAGATGTTTCTGTTAAACCCAAACCAACAGAAGAAGATGTTGAAGCGGACGTAAAGTTAATGCCAAAAGAAACTAAAGAACCAGATAAAGGCGAAGACGAAGTTACAATTAAGAAACATGTGCCTGTTGAAGATGAAGAATCCGAAAAGATTGACAGTAAACCAACAACCAAAGCGGACGAGGAGAAACATGTTGACAAGGAAAAAGAAGAGCAAAAACCGCCTAAAACTGAAGAAAGTGAAACTGAAGTTACCATTAAGAAACCTATTCCCAAAAAGAAAAAGGAACAGTCTCCAGAAATGGCTCTACCACCCAAACCCAAGGAAGAGGATGTTGAAGCGGAAGTAAAGCTACCGCCAAAAGAAGCTAAGGTGCCAGATGAAGGAGAGGACCAAGTCACAATTAAGAAACATGTTCCTGTCGCAGAAGATGACGAATCGGATAAACCTACAACTCAACTTACAACAGAAACAGAAGTGGAGGAAGACCTTAAACTGGTCCCGAAAAAAGGCATATCGTTGGACGAAGGTAACGATGCAGTGACCATTAAAAAACATGTTCCGGTAGAAGACGATGAAACCCCTACTGAATTCACGATAAAACCAACACCGCAGACTGAAAATGTAGAAGCGGAATTAAAAGTTGAGTTGCCATCAGAAAAGATTCCCGAAGAAGGCAAAGATGAGGTGACAGTTAAAAAACATGTACCGGTAGAAATTGAGGAAATCTCAGAAGAAACTATTGTCAAACCGACTCCAAAGGCCAAAGAAGTAGAAGAGAACCTTAAAATAACTCCTAAAAAAGACAAGTTGCCAGAAGAAGGTGAAGACGACATTACCATAAAGAAATTCGTCCCATCACCTGAGGATGATGAAACTGAAGATGAAACCATACTTACAATACCAAAACCTAAAGACGAACAAGAAACTGAGGTAGTCATAAAGAAATCAAAGAAACATCCTAAAAAAGTTGTAGAGGGAGAAGATGAAGTGAAAATTAAGAAACATGTTCCTGTGTCGCCTGAAGAAGAAGACACCGTAACCATTAAAAAACCCACTGAAGATGAAGTTGATGAAACTTTCAAGACAAAGAAACCAATTAAAATACCAAACGAAGAAGAGGAAGACGAAGTATCTATTAAAAAGTATGTGCCAATCGAAGAAGATGAAGCAGAGGTATTTAGGAAAAAGCCTGCAAAACCAGAAGAGACTCCAGAGGAAGTAGAAACTCAAGTAACCATTAAAAAGCCCACTAAAGATGAAGTTGATGAGACCTTTAAGACAAAGAAACCAACTAGAGTCCCAACTGAAGAAGAGGAAGACGAATTATCAATTAAAAAGTACATACCGGTCGAAGAAGATGAAACAGAGGTGTTCATTAAAAAACCCACAAAACCGGAAGAAGCGCCAGAAGAAGTAGAAACTCAAGTGACAATTAAAAGAGATAAGTCTCCAGTGCAAGAAGAAGCCGAAGTCAAGATCACGAAAAAGACCAAATCAAAGAAACCACCAGTTGAAGAAGCAGCTGATGAACTCACTGTACAAAAACTTAAGCCTGTACGAAAACCTTCTCTTCCGCAAGAAGAGGAAAAAGAGGAAGATATTCCGTCTGTCACGTTTAAACCAAGAGTATCAAAAACCAAAGAAGACGTAGAACAAGAGTTTCGCATTTCATTGGACTCATATGCAGAAGAGGAAATTAATCTGTCGTCCAAAATTAAACTTAAAAAACCGAAGAGACAACCTACATTTGGAGAGGAGGCCGCTGAGGAGTCATTGAAAATCATTGAAGAAGTTGAAAGTGAAGGGCCTGCCATTGAAGAGATTATTGATGAAGGCAGCGATGCTGAAGAGCTTCCGTTAGACGACGATGAGGTTTCTGAAAGTTTCCATGTGGCATTTAAAAGAAAGCCGTCCCGAAAATATTCGGTGGTGCATGAAGATGAAGAAGATGTCAGCCTAAGTATCAAGAAACCACACAAACAAGAGGACTATGAAGCAGCGGAGATTGACATTAAAATCAAACCCAAACGGCGAGATTCAGTATCCTTGTCAGGTAACGGAAATCGGATGTTTGTAAACTATCCCCATAATTTGAGAGTTTTAAAATTTGCAGAAGACGTATCCCTTAGTATTACCAAAGAAAAGGAAGTGGAAAAGATAACCATTATCCACGAAGAAGAAGTTCAAAAAGGTGACGTGTATTATTCAGTTACATTCTATGATGCAGAAGCTGACCAAGCCTGCGACCTTGTGGAAGGCGAAAGAGTTTATGTCGTAGAAACCCAAGGTAAACATGCAAATATAGATAAGTTCTATATTGTTGAGGCGGATTAATTTTTTTACAAACTTCTTTTTGGGTATTTTGCCTCAAAAATGTTTGTCTTTAAAAAAGACAGAATTTCCTCACGTCTTTTATTACAGATTGATA